TCCGATTTGGTTCACGCTCATCACGCTCTGACGAAGAAGTCATTGCGTTTGATGCCGATATCGATAACATCGATATCGAAGAAGATGATGCCAGTGAGAGTGCGGAAGCCCTCACTGAAGACAATGATCCCAGTGAGAGTGCGGAAGCCCTCACTGAAGAAAAGGTTGTTGTCGCTGCAGTGCGCTCACAGCACACTGAAGCTAACGAGTCATCAGATGAGTTCATACTGGCTCGTGAAACGGTAGTCCGTTTTGTGCAAGACTCCATCGCCGAAGCGGTGGATAAGCAAAAGCAAAACGCTGACAAGAATGGAAGGGCAAACACTCTTTTATTTAATAAAGGTGACTTAGTCCTACTGTCTACGGTTAATCTACCAAAACATGTAGTGACTAACTTGGGTAGCAGTAAACTACTACCCAAGTACATTGGCCCATTTCGTGTATTGCACCGCCTAGGCAATGCATACACGATCGAGTTACCACGTAAGATGCGAACGCATCCCACGTTTTACGTTGGTCGGCTTAAGCCGTACCATCAGTACGCTGCTTCTTCCGATGAAGAACGCCCTTGCGCTCAAGCATCTCGCAGAGAGCCTTGTGCTCCCGATGGTGGGCATCAACAAGGGTCTGAAGAGCAGTTATCTCAGCCCGAGACCGATCAACAATCCCACGAGCTACCCTTAGCTCGTCACGAAGAGATGTCAGAGATCTCTCGTTCTCAAGCTGAGCAAAGGCAAACTCAGCTCGATGCTTCGAGGCAGTGTCCACCATCTGGAGACGCCTATTCCGCTCATGCTCGAGATCGTCGCGTAACCCTTGCGTTACGCGATCAAAAGCTCTCGGGAACACACCGATCCACATGATCGTGTGGAGAGCGTCTTTCCTCCTCCTCCACCTCCATTAGAGGACTCTCGCGGTGGCCAGCGCTATCTAGTAGAGCAGCTGTTGAACCACCGCGACGTGAACGGACGTCGGACGAGTTACCTCGTCCGGTGGCGCGGCTATCCCCCGTCCTGGGATTCTTGGGAGCCCCGCTCCCAATTGATGGTTGACGTACTGGGTCTGGTCGAGCAGTACGACGCGACACATCCTGTGCCGCAGAAGGACCGCCGGAGAAAGTCTTCCCGGCACGGTCGTAAAGGGATTTCAGGTTGTCAATCCCTTCGTACATCTCAGTAGAGACACGTACGCGCCACCACGGGCTGGTAAGGAGGTAAGCCTCCTTAGGTGCTCGTGCAGAGTTGTTCACACAACATGGGCACGAGTCTCCCCAAGAGAGGCAGGGTAATCCTTTCTCCCTTGACAGACGATGCAGCTTATAGCGTGCACCTGTCGGGGTTCGCTTTTTCAAACTTATCACGAGCTTTGATAAGTTTGTCGTTCCAAGCGTCACGACCTACATCCTCGAGATTATGGATGTAGGCGTTCCACGCCTGAAGTAGTGAGGGACCATCATGTTTGTGATTCCCACTGTACCATCGATGTCTGAAGAAAGCATCGATGAAGAACTCATGTTCAGCGCGATAGTCTTTCGCGCTGGGGTCAAGGTGATGAATCCTCGACGAATCGAACAATCGTGTTCGATAACGATCACTCGTCGTCGCCGACAAGTGATCCATGACAGATTTAGGAGGCATCCATGCCTTCTTTTCTGGAGCGAGACGCAACACATTGCGGTCCCGCTCTTCCTGCGACGTGCCGACAGAAGTACTGGCACCTCGCTGTGAAGTGGTGTCCATTGGAGAAACGACACCACTATTAGCGCCCGAGTCTCGCGACCTCGAGCGCCTTCGCTTCGGCGATGGTTCATCTGACTCATCAGATGAACCAAAGATGCTGCGACGCAAAGCATCGTCCATGCCACGCTTGGCAGGCGGCTTGGATTCAATTGCCGTCGATACGGATCCGTCATCCGTATCAGGAGAGTACGAGACACCGAGCTCGTACTCTGTGAAGACACGAGTGTCTTCATGACCAGCGCCTGCATCACCAGGTGATACAGGCTGAGTCGATTCAGCAAGCGATGGGATATCAGTTGCTGTAGTTTCTGCTTCGGCGTCCGCACAGAGACGTGCAGACGCGCTCTCGGCGGCCTTGCTCGCGCATCGCATGGGCTTGTTTACCATGCGATGAGATGTTGGAAAGTGGACGCGGACCAACAAGTGCAAACCCCGTCCCAAATGATTTGGGACGAGTATCCATTTAGTCAATCAGTCACTAAAGTGACTGATGGTTAAGGGGGGTGATGTAACGGGGTGAATCGTTACATAACAATTTATAAGAAATTGTTAATAGAATATAACTATAAGAGTTATATTCTCAGAATATTGTCATAAGGACAATATTCTGTAGCACTTCCAAGTAGTTCCTAATTGGTTGATATAGGCCATTATATCAACCAACGAAGACGCGCCACGACAGACGCACGCAATGAGTGGTGAGCAGATAACTGATTTACACATTTGTATTTAGACATAGTTAGATGAAGATAAATAGTGATTTATTGCAGACATTAACTATTATAAATACAGTTCTACTTTTTACTCTAACCGAGTACTCGCTTCTTCTTACCGTCTTCCTCTGCACGTACGAGTGTACGTGAAGTTACGAGGCACCGCCTTATTCTGTTATCAGAATAAGTAGCTTGTACTGTCACCAGTACAAGCTTCAGGGTGCCCCGTTACAAGTATGCTGTAAGAGAAAACGTATCCCTTCGACTGCTCCTCCTGCCCTTCCTCGCCTGAATGCTGCTGCGTTCTGTTGAGCTGGACTTCTCCTCCAAGGGAAACCATTCTCATATTGTGGCCATATCCCGTTCGCGCCTCCGCATACGTGTGGAAGGTGCCGCTACAGGCAGACGTATCCGAAGCTTGATCAACACCAACTTGTAGAGCTTTTGGCCTGTTAAGGCGAGCTCCGATGTCACTTTTCATTTCCGTCATCAATTATAGCAGCTTTGCCACAGCCTCGTCCGCGCTGAATCCTGCATTATCTCCGTAGCCGATTGCGTGGGCTGTGCTTGGCCCTCGAACGGTTTGATGCAGAATCATCCGTATGATTTGGGCGTATCCAGACAAACAAGGTAATAAGGAGATGCTATTATGGGTGGTGGCAAAGACCCTAGTAAGTGTATTGTTCAGATTAACTTGCATGTTCTATTCATCCACACCTGGCTCATGTTCACCTGTTTGTGTCGTTCTGTCACTGACGTATTTCTGCGCCGGTATTAACTCCATCGATAGTGTCGGTAGAGTACACGTTGCTTTAAGAAGTGCCCCTGCATTAATATCTGGATTGCAAAGATGACTCGATTTTGTCGCAGGGTCGATCGGGCAGGATGTCGCATTCGATACAAGATATTGCGAGCGCTTCCAATGTATCGGCAGTTGCATCACAAGTGGTAAACTTGCAATGTACACGAGTGCTTCACGTGCGCTGAGTTGCTTTCAGTCGCCGTTTGATGTATTTAGACGCCACAGTCTATCGTTCCTCCCACTTACAGTATTTGTAGCAGAACATACGATGAGCAGTGTAGTGATGCTATAAGATATCTATATCAAATAGCCTTCTTAAAAATTTCGGGGCTTGTTGGACACTGCACGTATGCGGCTCAATGTTGGCTTTCCTGTAAAGTAAAATGGGAAGGTTATGCAGCTGCCACCCTTTCGATAATCAGCCACCAGCCACCAATAATTGATATGATTTCAAATGAGCTTTGAAACATTTCGTTTATTGGATTTAAATAGGGTAGAGTTCTTCTAAGCTCAATCTTTTATTTATCGCACCAATGTTCATTTCTAAAATTTAATTCAAGTTTGCTTATTCATTGCTAACTACAGTGTGAAGTCTTGAGACAACGCCTGAGATTGCGTATGATTATTCGGAGGAAGCAACGGCGAAAATTGAATCCCATGCGAAACATCAAGGCTATGTCGTTGTTGCCAAACACACAAAAAGGGTGGACATTAAAAATGGTGGTGCCGTGAAATAAGTTTCTACCCTGCTCCTAGTCGAACCCATAACGCTAAAAAACGGACCTCGCCAACGTGCTTCTTCCAGCCGTCACCCTGAGTGTTTGTTCAGGGCTAGGAGAGCATCGGCATCTTCGTTTTGTATACCGCTAATCACAAACCATGATTATGTCAAATTAATTCCTAACATTTCCATCTTCATTCTTCAGCTTGTGAGGCCAAGTCTTTGACATAGACTAGCACAGCCCAGAACGATTTCCTTAGTCGCGCGTAAGGACCACTTGTCTACCTTCATAGATAGCGGCCCGTAAAGCAGTATATTTTGCTCACTTGTATGGAGTTTATCTGCCACGCGGAACGAAAAGCAAGCGCATCCTGCTTTTCCTTGTTCTAGGAAAACTGATCATATCCTCCTCGCTAATCTGTTTGCCACAAAATGAACAGCATAGTTCTATGTATAGTCCACCATCAATTCAGATTAACGCAAGACGTGCGTTCAGTATAACAGCACTCAACTCAATATTTTGCGAGAATTTTATCCAATGGCTTCGGATGTTTGCGCGACCGATTAGTTGCATCATTTTCGAAATGAAAATAACAGGATAGGGGAGCAAGCTCTGGTGCTCGCCCTTTGATATAAGTAATTGAGTTTCGACTAAATCAAATTGCAAAACAATATATAACAGCAGTCATTGAAGAATGAGTATGATGCTGTTAATGTGTGCAGTACCCAGTACAGTAAGTATGCTAGGGCATCGCTATCAGCCTTTGCTTATGAGCGTCCAGCATTTGCTGATGTGATTATACTCATCTTTAATTAAATTTTGGCTAATCACATGTATGCGATACAATTGTGATCCAGCCAAAGAGTTACGTCGGATGTACCTATGACGGTGACGGGCTAGATCACACTTAGCACGTTTAAGCTACACCTAACCGTGTTATTAACATACGGACGACACAGATAGTAAGTACGATTGAAAAGTTCGGCGTCCACCTTGCGCACAGTCACTGCTAGGGCTCCGACCCATGGCCATTGGTCCGGGTCCGACCCCGACCCAGGACCCGTACCAGCTGGTCCAGGGCGACCCAATGGGTCGCCCTGGTCTTAAACATGTGTGTATACCACATCATTTTATTGGATTACCAAACATTCACATTTGAGCTCAAGTTAATCCTTTCTAGCGACAGCCAAGGTGAGGCGTCGCCTTAAGCTTGGACACGCTGCGCGTGCGTCTGTAGATCGTGCTGTGGATGCCAAGAAAGCAATATGGCGCCTGCTTTTCGTTCATCCGCGAGTCGCGTCTGCTAGAGGGATAAAGATGTAGATACAAGCAGGTAGGACGCGCAAGAATCAGTAAGTGGAGTAATATTGCTGATCGAGGGCTACTGTAAGAGATGTAACGTCTAATTTGCTGTTCAGAGACTTACGTATGCATTATTAATGCAGATACAAGCTGGTGGGCCGCGCAAGCATCGGAAGGGGACCAACATCACTAAGGGCGGACTAATCTAAGAGGAGGAGAGAGGTGTAACGTCTGGCTTGCTGCCCAGAGCCTTACGTATGCGTCGGCGTTGAAGATACAAGCCGGTGGGCCACGTATCAGAAAATATGAGATCTACATTGCCGATGAATTGCTGATTGAAAATAACTAACGTCTGGTTTTGCTGTCCAGAGCCTTACGCATGCTACGGCGCCAGAATTCTAGCCGCTGGGCCACGAGTGTGGCTACATCAGGTTCCTTCATCACTATCCAATAAGTCTATTTTACTTTTCGCGCGTTGCCTTGTCGTCTCGTGCTCACCGAATTATGGCCACGCGTGCGGTCGTGCCCGGGTGGACGCTAACATCAATAAATCTGTTAACTTTCTATATTGATATTGATTAAAGCGCTGAGAGTCCTTAAACATAAAATCGTAAAGGCTTGGCTACTCGGAGTTTTAAACTCATCGAGCACCTCGCACTCTCCATTAAGGACAACATACGGCTCGCGACGTTACTGATGCTTCACCGCTGGTAAAGAAAGTTTACATATCTGTTTTTAACGATGTAATCGACGATCATGACATCTTATCTCACACACTCTAATAAATTGCAACAGAGCTGCAAAATTCGTTGGTGAGTGTAGAACGTGTTTCTGTCAAGTAGACAAGTTCAATTCCTGTTCAGAGTTAGATGAGGTCAGTGGATGCTCTGTACGATCTGATAATCTTGCTACAGTATTCAAACATAATAATTAGAGTATAAAAGTATATTTGATCGTGGTCATTAGCAGTGATCGTGTCATCAACATTCTGTCTACCTGTACTAAATCCGTATGAAACTCTTCGTTCTTCTCGTTCCATTCCGGCCGTTGTCATCATATTGATTTAAATTTACAAACCAATAAAATCGTTCTTGATCCATTTTTCCATTCACATGAGTGCTTCTGAATTGATAGCATTCAATGATACGCGGGAGTCAGTAATAATTCTCCTTCCCGTAGAAAAGAGTCTTTCACTTGGTACACTGGTTGCCGAAAAAACAAGTATGGCCGTGCCATTTCCGTCAAGCTTGGAAACGTCGAGGCTTTTGATCTCCACCAAAGCAATGGATCCGTGTCGGAATCTTCCACTTCACCATTTAAATAACGGTCAATCTCGTCATCGAGATCATGTGTCTTACGCTTTTTGTAGAGTCAACTAGCGTAAGAGTTCGAGTTGCTCTTTTCTGAGCTCGCTGTGGTTGCTTGGTGCTGTTCATGAGCATTGTACATTTTGGCTCTGTGCAACAGCTGATCGCGTATCTCCCATATGTCCTCGTTATAATCTTTAAAAAAAATACAACTTGATTTGAGGATCCAAGACTGTTGCAAGCTTGTATACGTACTGACCATCAGCTTTTTCCTTGTATGCCTGCAACTTCTTCACCATAGCCCGGATCGATGATTCAAGAACTGCACCTTCATATAAACGAAGAGTCGCTTGAATGCTCTCCAATAGCATGGAATATACTGGTGCAGCTGCCATAATAGAGGGATACCTTGCAGATGACAACAACACCGTAGCCTAAAAAAACAAAATTAAAATAAAATAAAATATTAACACATGATTCCCCGGCAACAAATTTGGTAAATACCTCTTCTAACGGTTCAAGCAGCTCAATAACTTCGTGCACAAGATCCCATTCATGTTCTTTAAGCGCATACTTCCGAAGCTCGGAGCCGCTGTCCGTTTAGGCTCCAATGACTTTGCGAAGTAAAAATGCACGCTTCAACATTGCCCAAGTCGAATTCCACCGCGTTGACACATCTTTTACCAGCTTCTTCGCAGTAACATCTGCTGCGACTACATCCGCAAGTTTTCTAAAGTTTTTCAGTCGCTGTGGCGAGCCGTTGATATATTTCGTGAGGTCACGAACTCTACGAACAATCGTTCCCGCTGTCCAAAACATTTAGACAATTACCATATTAGCTCAAAAAAATTGCAATAATATATATGGAGGTTAACTTTTTTCGATTTCAATATCTCGATCCAGAAGTAGCACATCGACGGACATTGGGTTGATGATCTCAACAATGTTCTGATTGGGTTGCTGATCAAAAGCTCCAAGTAGCTTAATACCAGCATTTGCTATCAGATTGATAACATGCGCCATACAGCCAAGCATATTGTCACTCCTGGTAAATCCAGGAATAATACGCCGTTGATCCAAACACATTGCAATTGTGCCGTTCGTCGAAGCATTGTCACCTGTAATGCAAAAGAGCTTGTCCAATATATTGAACTTCTTTAATACTTCAAACAGATGATGTTCAAGGTTCTGCCCACTGTGGTCTCCTTCAATCTCCACCGCAGCAACCACAAGATTCCATAGCTTCCATTTCTCATCAATATAATGAGCGGTGACCCCCATGATCGAAATATGTGATATGGAGAAGTCCAGCAATCAAAAGTGATGTTCACTTTGGTGTTCAAATTCTCCAATGACATCTTCAACTGATTACACCCTGCAAATATCCACATTAGAGGTTAAGTTAAAAGAATATCATATCGCACACGTACCCTTGTAAAATATTTTTAGAACATCATGTCGGATCGTATCTGCGGACGTTATAAGAGAACTTGCTGCAGGATTACATAGCTCAAGAAGCTCGCATAATGTCCTATATTCCACAAACTGATACGGCAAAGAATGCTCTATAATAAGATTGATTAACGCCATCTTTAATGTCTGTCTGTTCAGTTGGGGGTTTTGTAACTAAACAACAAGCTAATACTATAGCGAAACTAAACGTTTTTTTATACATCATTGCACACACCTTCGGGTTGCCCGCTTTCAGAAATGCATGCAATGCACCTTGTTGCGGTTCCTTTTCGTGTATATGATGATTGCTTATCAAATGCTTGGCCAAGTTCTTGGTTCCGCTGGTAGCTGTACACACATACGCTGCTCCACAGAGTGCAGACCCGCCGCGATGCTTTGGGACTTGACAAACAGCTTTTTCTTCTTCTTTAAGTCTTTAAAAATAAGTCCACACCCAGCTTGTCTTCTTGCCACCACTGGACCTGGAATCAACCTCTGTTTCCTGGCTGACACCGTCGACGGACGCAACCGACGATGCAGATTCCGATTGCATCACTTCGAAATCCATGACCACAGATTTTTTTACTTGTTAGAATCCCTATTTAGAAATTTATCAGCCAATAGTATTCAGAGCCTCTATCATGCCCGATCTCTAAGTGGAAGAAAATGACTGGAACCGGAACTCAGTACCCAGATGCAGCATCATAAATTACCATGAAAAATTCACATTTTTATAATAAAATTATCTTTTTGAAAAGGGACCATTGGGTCCTGGTCCGGGTCGGACCCCTAGTCACTGCTGACGGCTTCACCCTCCGGGCCCGCAATTAATAATAGGTTGGTGGTGGCTGATTATTCAACGGTCGGTGGCAGATTAGCGTTTCTAAAGTTAATTTGTAGTTTGTTTGATGGCCCACTATATTGCCACGATTAGCTCGAAATCGCATTTTGTGCGACGCAAATACGCTTTATTTATATTGTGCTTTCTAGCGTCAACATGGGAATCGAGTAATCTTCCGTTTTCGTCTTTGTTGTCACAGCAGCTACTACAGTAAAATGGGCGTCACAATTGAGCTAGGACGCTTGAAGTTCGCGTGCCCTTTTAGCCTCCATTTCAATCGACACGTACCGCTCTCACTGCGTCTTGGTTGTAGGATTTTGTCGCAAAGGCTCGATACCGGAGCTACTGCAATGAAGCGAGACTTTTTTGAAGTAGTTCAGGCACGGAGCCTTGATCGATGCAAACACTATCAGCTTATATACTGCATGTAAACTAGTGCTGACCAATGCTGTCATCAGACATTGCAGTGCCTGGCAAGGCCATTTGCTATCGGGGCAGAAGCTTACACGTAACTATCGCGATATCTGCAAAGTGATTTGTTGACACCGTTTATCGACCTCGTTTTACATCTAGCTTCCCAGTACGGCCGGTCTGTGAGAGATTACGGCTGAGCGCGTAAGGGTCTGTCAGCATTTATCCAATTTAGGCGTTTGAACTTCGCTGGGAACGTTCAGAAGACCTATAATACGATGCGCAGGACTGACGACAACGGCTGTGTACTTTCTCGACACAGCACATCCAGCGAGTTCTTCATGGTTCGAGCAGCCTGCAACTAAATCATGACAAACGAGACATCACGTTGTAAACAGCTGCACAAGTCCAGTAATCACCTGCTACACTCGATGCGTACGGCGATATCATCGCCGTAGTGCAGACTGAAGGCAAGATCTAGCTTAAACAATGAGGGGGCCACAAGTCCGCTACATCATTTCGTAAAGACCGTCTATCAGCGAACTGTGTAATTTCATGAGCCATATACGCCGTGCACTGCACAGATCTCGTAACATCACCATAAGCTTGACGCATTCTCGTCTTTATGTTGCCCACCACGTACAACGCTCAGTCCGTCTCGGAATGCCTACACACGCTCTCGCTGTGAGAAATACAACAAAGCCCATACATTACGACTCTGGCTACCGCTGCTGATAATCAGTTGACTGAGTGTGCCTGTCGTCTTGTTTATGCTCGCCCCTGTCCCTCGTGACACAGCAGGCATCATCGCGTGCCCCTGCACGGCACCTCAACTTGAGCCTCTCATTTCTCAAAAGCTATTGCGCTACACATGTCAGCAGCCGATACGACGCCCACGGCGCTTCAAAAAACGGTAAAGCGCTGCTCGTCCATCTTCCAGCTACGCTTGCTGCGCCCCGTCTCGGCCAAAATAATCTCCTACGGCCGCGAGACTTCTTCTCGACGCTGTCCGACGCTCTACGTGCTTCGTGTGACTCGCAGTGGCACTGGCGATTGGTACGTGGCCAAGCGCTACTCCGAGTTCCGCGCTCTGCACGAGACGCTCGAGCGCCATTTCAATGGCGGCCACAACCGCAACAGAAGCCACTCGAGCTGTGGCGCATGCGAAGAGCTCGAGACCTTTTACAGCAGTGTGCGCTTCCCGGACCGCCACATTTTCCAGTCTGGGCTGCGCTTTTCCAAGAGGCGACTGGATGCCACAAGAGCGGAGGAGCTCAATAGCTACATGCGGTTTCTACTAGAGACGACACAGGGATTACTGGGCGACGAAGAGTCCGGAGTCGGTGATGACGGGGGCGAGTGGCTGGATAGCGACGATATGGACGACGGGCGATGTCCTGTTCTGGACCTCATTCGGGAGTTCTTGATGGTGAATGAAGACCACGTGACAGAAGCGAACGTTTGGACGTCTAAAGGTGAAGAGATGTACAGCAATGGTCGGCAGTCGTCGATGGAAGTCGGAGCTGCAGCACCAAAGCGGCAGATGCACCGTCTATCGAGACGCAGTTCTTCCGTGACGAGTTTTCACGTGCGGGAGCTGGATCTCGTGTCGATCTCACCTGTCACAGACGAATCGATGCGCGGCTTGTTCGCAGAAGATTGGTGGGACCCCACGTTTGCGGACGTGTTTGACGAGGCTATTGCCCCACCTGAGAATGCGTTCATCCATCGCCAGATCGAGGACGCATCGCGCCCGCTACGACTAATCGAGAGCAATCTGCGTCGCTAGAACGGATGCAAGCACCTGAAAACCTGTGGAGGAAAAGGCGCATCCAGAAGCTGAACGGGATTAAACAGGGCCTGGACACATTTCATTCGGCCTGATGTATTGTGAGTAAGGTCATGTCTAATGAGAGGCATCAAACGTGCCACCGACACTCAAGTTGTAGTATCTATATTGTGCAATCCGCGAGTAAACATGGCGCCCGGCCTTCACAACCTCCGATTGTTTGCAAACGGAGCACTACAGCGCGAGAAGGCGAGTGCGCAGTCTTGGTCTTCCTGTCCTATAATGGAGCGAGCATCGAAGATGAGAGCCCATTATTTTGTTTCGTGTACCTGGATCCATATTTCTTGTCATGTTGCATCAATAGGAGACAACTATCTGCTTCATGACATTGTAAAGGGGCATGAAGCAGCATGTTCTGCGCCAATCGCAGGTTACGGATATACTTGGCGCTAGCTCGTTAATGGAACGAAACTCTCTCATGACTCGCGATCGTATCAGCACGGAATGTAAATGGATCTTTGCGACTCAATGGTGGTCGCGTAGGGCACGATATCTCCACGGTGCTGACGCACCAAAAGCTGGTTTTCTTCGCCATGGCATCGATCCAGGTGCATAGAATGCGACTCACTTTGGCGAACGTCACGTGGTCTCTCTGTGTGTTCCTGTTGCGTTCCGTTGCACGCCACGACACTAGGAGCGCCATCAGCTTCGACGAGAGCAGAATCCCATTCTTACCAGACTCTTCTATTTTAAAGCTGGTAAATTCGCTATGATCGCAGAGATCTTGTCTCCCCGAAAATAACTACGGACTCAATGTTCTGATTGCCATCACACATCGCCACATCGCATCGACACCTGAATTAAGAGCGCACGGTTTGCCCCACAGTAAGACCAAAGCATGCACATGCATTTGCAGCAGCGAGAAGCAACAAGGAGTCTGCGCTTTTAACGCTCTTTCCCATCCTAGATACACCACACTTAGAGTCAGTGTGGGTCTCAACAAGACCAGCTTTACAATAATCCTTGGTAGCCGGCTCTGGCTCGGACGGGATAGTACCATGTCAATTAGACAAGTGTCCAGCTCCTATCACACAGACGCCAGCCTCTTTTTGTGCCGCTCGATCCGATAAAGTCGACCGGTCATTCCCTACCACGTGTCGCGCTGCGGATAGAACGTAGCGGTATCAGTATCAGTCTCGCACGATCCGTCAATGTACCAGTCTTGCACATCCACATTTCATGCGTTACACATGCTTGTTTTATGTGGTCTGCGCACGACCATCGCGTCGATCCACGATTGTCCCACACGAAGGGATGCCCTAAAAAGGGGGCTCCAAAAAAGGGCTTCTTATAAAAAACTAATTGGTTGTTTACGGAAGTACAACACTTTTTTAGATGTGGTAAAAGATTGCTAAAAAAGCGAATATATATAAAATTCGAAACATCAAAGTTTACTGGAGGCACAACTGGCGCGACACATCGGTGGCTGAAGCGGTGCGGACAGCCCTCTTTTGCCATAATGAGTAATTCAACTTTGTAGAAGGACATTTTGCTGTGTTCGTGTCATAGCAGCATAGTTGAAAAGTAAAAAATTTCGTGACAACTTGATAGTTGACGCATCCTTCGTGCGGTACGTCACATGGTAGGATGCAGTCGTCTTGTCTTGGTGACGAAATAGATCACTAGGACGTTGTCGTCTCTGCAGGTAAGTCGCCATGGACTTCAAAGCTGGTAACTGGTTGAGTTCTCAAAGGTTCCAGACCCCTAAACAATCTTGGCGCCGTATGATGTCATCCGTCATTTGCCCATGAACAGATTCGTGTCTGTTTCGATAACGAGCCAATCGAATGTGACACCTACAGCCCCTTACTCTCAGATTCACGCTGTAAGAGCCGAAACGTTCCACCTCTCTTGGATTCGTCGGCGCATTTCCCTTGAGCGAAAGCAACATCTTTAGTCGCTTGACAAGTGGCCTTTCTCGTACGTAGCCCATCTTTCCATCTTTCGTTTTAATTTTGCTGTTCGAAGAATGTGAGTTTTTTTTACCGGACCAGGGGCTGCTAATAGCTTTGCTTATATTGCAATGTTTTGCCATGTTTCTCCAGACTACTACCACCTCTTGTACTTTTGGTGTTGTATCACCCTATGCTAATACCAATGTGCTTTTGCCAATTCGACCCGCCACCCCACGCTACAATTCTTTTCAGCAGCATGCAATCAGCTGTGTAAATACCTACCTATTTCAGGTAAGAAACATCTAAGCTCTTCACCGAAACGACTCATCATGTCGCTGATAGTGCTAATGCTGGCCGCCAACCATGCAAGCGATTGTATAGTATAGATCTAAATTACAAACCCAGTGCTGATAACATGCCACCCCTGCCGATCCTCTATTTCACAGCCGAAGGGCCGACCTGTTGGTTTAAAAGCAAGGCTATGTCATCGAAGAAGCATTTGTCGTCGGCGTTCGCCTTTTGAAGCCGCTGTAATGATGCGTTGCAGTCGATCTGGTCTTGCAATAGTAAGCCAAACAAGCACGTGGCGTAATTATTCTATCAAGTACCGTGGCAACCTCTGTGTCAACAACTACCCCATTTGTGGATCTGCACCGCCCCCATTATACTCTTTAGAATTGTGCCTTGATGTATTCGACACGTATAAGCACAATCAGAAGAGGCACTAGTATCGGTCTTGGACCCACGCACTGCTTCCACATTTTTTCGATGACCGCTAAGGTGGTCCACGATCGTATCCTTCACATCTCTTCAATGTTTAGTCTGCCGTACGTAACGAGCAAGAACAGTAGAAGTTCCACGTAGAAGACAGCGCATATTCGGAGTAAGTTGGCCGGTACGCGTGAAATTAAAAGGGGGCAAAACTCCGTGTGAACTGGCAAAGGCTGCAGTATAAAATAAAGCGTGGCGAAAGCGCTTCCTCGAACAAAGCGTACTTTCGAAGCCGTACTTAGCCTCGCCTGCATTTATTTCCGTAACGGAAATAGCAAGTTCCGTTTTCGAAAGCCCCATATTCGTTTTATTCATGAGCGAAATCAACGCACGTCGCCTCCGTCATTCAGTAATCTTTGCATTCGACACTAGAGCTCCTCACGCCGGCCGCAGCGACCACGACCGACCCAGCGATGCATCACCGGACGGGCACGAAGAGCCCTCCATCTCTACCGCTGTTCGCTCGCAGCGACCACTTCTCTACCGCTAGTATTCGACATGCTCTGCGTCCTCCACTCTCGCGCCCGTGCGTGCTTGTGCTAGCGCTCAGCGGTCTGGGGATGCTGATAATGACGGCCAACTTCATGTTCACGTTACGTGCCACGTCCTTCGCGTTTAAGAAGACGCGGGTACTGGAGAACCACGTCGATATTGACCAAACTATGGGCCGGATCATTGATGTCCTCAAAGGCGGGAAGGAGGTCCCAGACAGTAGCTACAGACCGCCACCTCTTGACTACAGGGACAGCTCGTTCTCGGCCGACGACGTGAACCGCATGGAGGAGCAGCTCGTCTACACGATCCACGAGACGGCGCAGCGGACGATTGACAAGCGGGGGATTGTGCTGCCACTGTTCGACGACATTGCAGCGCTGGGCGTGTCTTTGATCTTGGAGCTGCGGGCGATGGACGTGCTGTTACCAATTGAAATACCGCACTGTGGCGATCTGAAAGACTCGACGATTCGCACAGTTCTGGAACAAGAAGAAGTGGGTGTGCTGCACTTCTATGATGTTTGTGAACTCGCGTCAGAGACCGTCAGTTTACTGGATGCGTCCGTGAAGGTGTTTTGTGAGAGTCTGAGCAGCTGCTATGAACTGTTTCAAAGCTTTGACATCAAGATACTGGCTGTGATTTTCTCGCGGTTTGAAGAGGTGATGCTGCTTGATGCCGACACGTTGTTCTTTGAGAGTCCCATGTCGCTCTGGGATACGGACAAGTACCAGAATACGGGCACGCTGTTCTTCCATGATCGACTGGTCGAAGACAAAATGTTTATGGGGAACCTCCTCGAAGGTAGCAATGGTGACGCGAGACAAATACATGACTTTATGTCACGGTTCGATGTGTCGCCGTTTAGGCCGTTGGGTCACATTGAACGACCAAAGGCAACAAGCGAGAACAAGGTGCCTGTAACGCTGCGTTTCTCACCCAGCGAGCAACTGTTGACGAGTCATTCGTGGAACTACCGCGCTGGCCACGAGATGGACTCGTCGTTGGTACTGTGGAACAAGAAGCGGCAGCCACGAGCAACAGCGATCCTGGGAGCGTTTGTAGCGCGCAATAGCATCAGTCGACCGCCTTCTTACGGTGATAAGGAGCTGTTTTTTGTGGCCGCCGAGCTCGCTGAGACGCAGTATGCGTTTTCGGATTACGGAACGGGAGCCACGGGGCAGGACTTTCGCGATGCTGGGCCCGGCAAGTCGGTGCTCTGCGGCTACGCCGCGCATTACTATCCGGTGAAACCGAAGGATGAAAGGCTCGTTGCTACTGCTAGCGTGTTGTACCTCAACAGCGATGACATTCTGGTGTATGACCCAAGAACAAAGCCCCTCTACTACACTCAGGCGCGACTATACGAGGAATACCCAGGCAACGCTGAGGAGCGCGGTCTACTGAATATGTGTCCGTTCGACGTGACGGGTGTGCGCTTTTCTTCTGAACAGGAGAACCGCATGCAGCTACGTCAGCGCTTCCACGAGTTTGCTAAGGCCTGGATGGAGTAGCCACAGTCACGTCAACACGATGTCATGCCGTCAAGGTCTTTGGCTTTTTCGTGTTGACTCAACGGTACCATCATTTGGCAGGAAAAGAGGGTCACGAGTACGTGGACGCACGCAACCGCAGCACCAGCAGGTGTCGTCATCGTTCATCGTATTTGAGCTTAAATAAGCCAAACAGCTCGTGGATAGTGCAAGTAACTTCCGACGCTTTCTGCGTCGTATTTCGGTGATGTCGGTGTCTGCCGGCCTCGACGATTCCAAAGTCGACCGACGTCGCTCTTTCCCTATAACACCATCCTTAGGTCCGGTATTCATCTTCGGATATTAAATACAATTCAACCCAAACCTTTTTGATCGCAGCCGAGTTGAGCTCAAAAACGACCCTCTCGATTGCTAGCTTGTATTCACTGGAAGAGCGTGACTTCTGTTAATCGTCATCTGTTCCACACTGAAAGACATCAACCCACCTTCTTGCAGCTCTAGCGTCGCATCCCGAGTTTGTGCACCGTAGTCGCGCTGGCAGTTCTTAGCTATTACTGAGTGTTCGCGCACCTAGTGATGATCGCTGTAGGTAGCGGTATTGAATTGCCAGTGCTGGAATCGTGTGTAGAGAAATGGCAACCAGGAAAAGCTGACCCTCGCACCTGTGATGAGTCTTCCTACGCGTGCTTATCCATTTCTACATGGTGTTTGTAAGCCCTGTAAGTTATGCAGGCCATTTCTTGATCGTTCGGGCACATATGCCGGGTCCGACCAAGTTGGAGGCGGTTTTAAAGGAGCATGTAACCATGAGCTTACGAGCTCCACCGACATCGGCCAAGCTAGTGGAGCAACGCGTCGCACTCCATCTATGGCTAAGCACTGCGGGCTCTTAGTCAAGCCCTCGACGACTGAAGATGCTGTCGATACTATCGGAAAAGCACATTTAATGTTTTTGGTGCGAATCGTTTTCGATAAGCAGGTGGGGTCCCTTGACACCTAAATGAGGCCGATTCCTTTGCGTTCTGACGAGCAGGAAGACGAAGGCGGCTGACGGTAAAACTTTTCTGGTCCTATACTGCACATGAGAGTTGTGGCTAGCGTAGTAGATGTCGGCGAAATTAGATTCGGCGTAGATCGAAGTCGAGATCTGCGCGGATCGCTAGCCGACACAATCCTCTTTCAACCACAAGCCTTCAGGTTCTGTCTGAGACATAGAGGGACAAGCATTTTTGCGCTCAATCATGCGGTTGTTTTAGCTACCCAAGCACAGAAAAGGCAGCGTGACACAATGATAGTAGAGGAGATTACTGGTCCACATTGCTGTAAGCTCTTTGCCCACCTGGCATGCGGGGTCAGACAGCGCCGATAGCGAGCTTCCTTTCGCGACGAACCCAATGCCACTTAATTCTACTCTTCAAATAGTGGCAACGGCAAACAATTGTGAGTCACAAGTTCTCACCGGAGCGATCGATGAAGCTGACATGGAAATCTCTGTCAAGATAGCTGATCGCGCGAACCGTACGGTCAATGCTGTAGACGCGAACCAGGACTGACTGCTCATTGGCTGCACTGCGCATGACGTGCATCAGATCTTCCACGTCCCCTACCTCCTCCTGTTCCAGGTCATGGTTTTTGGGCATAGATGGGCTACAATCGAAGCAGGCAGATGGACCGTGGTTAAGAGCAGCCCACAGTTTCGCCGCTCCATAAGCGAATGTCCTGGCCTAAAGATCGCATGAGGAGTGACACTCTCACGCAATTCACTTTTTCTTTGACACTAAAGTACCCGCACCGCGCATATCGAAGTTACGGTATCCAATGCGTCTTATCTGTGTTTTGCTACTCGTCGTCGTCTCCCAGATGACAGTGTCAAGCTACGTTGCGGATGCCAAGGACGTGACAAAACCCGCAAACCAAGGGACCGGATCCAAGCAACTGAAGGCCCGTTATATTCTCAGGGATGACAAAGGTACTCTTGGCGATCAAAACACTGCGATGAACAACAAGGACGAGGAGAGGATATTCGAAGGGGTCTTCAGTAAGCTGAAGGCGCTCTTTCATGGGCGCATCGACGCAAAGCAAGTGAAGCCACTGATCCAGGCTATTTCGCCTGCTTCCAAGAAAGATCTCTCACAATTTTTCGCTGAGAATCCTGCCATTAAGAAGGAGATTATTGTAGCGGGAGTTCTTCTGTCTTTAATCGTCGCAGTTCCGCTGACGGTAAAGTCATTTTATCCAGCTTCAAGGTAATGACTGAATTTGACCATTCTTCATACCACTCGATTGCAAACCTCTCTTGAGCCCCGAACGGCACGTCGGGTCTGTTGGCATGTTGGTAATTCCGAGCGCTTGTGTTCTTAATCAGGGCAGTAAATATGTGCAAAACAGCTTTTTTTACAAGCTTTCTGCTGGACCGATTTTTTTAGACGCACTGTGTTTGCCTCGAGGTCATGCCGCCACTTTGATAGCAAATTTCATGCAAAAGTTCGGTTCGCATGCTTGGAAATGTATCGTCTCCAAGACTTCAATGAATTTCTTACCAGCACGTTTTGTCGGACGCATACTGAATACTTGTAACGGGGCACCCTGAAGCTTGTACTGATGACAGTACAAGCTACTTATTCTGATGACAGAATAAGGCGGTGCCTCGTGACTTCACGTACACTCGTACGTGCAGAGGAAGACGGTAAGAAGAAGCGAGTACTTGGTTAAAGTAAAAAGTAGAACTGTATTTGTAATAGTTAATGTCTGCAATAAATCACTATTTATCTTCATCTAACTATGTCTAAATACAAATGTGTAAATCAGTTATCTGCTCACCACTCATTGCGTGCGTCTGTCGTGGCGCGTCTTCGTTGGTTGATATAATGGCCTATATCAACCAATTAGGATTTACTCGTAAGTGCTACAGAATATTTGTCCTTATGACAATATTCTGAGAATATAACTCTTATAGTTATATTCTATTAACAATTTCTTATAAATTGTTATGTAACGATTCACCCCGTTACATCACTTCCCCCTTAACCATCAGTCACTTTAGTGACTGATTGACTAAATGGATACTCGTCCCAAATCATTTGGGACAGGGTTTGCACTTGTTGGTTCAAGTCCACTCTCCAACAATTCATCGCATGGTTAACAAGCCCATGCGATGCGCGAGCAAGGCCGCCGAGAGCGCGTCCGCACGTCTCTGTGCGGACGCCGAAGCAGAAACCACAGCAACTGATGTCTCATCGGTTGCTGAAGCGACTCAGCCTGTGTCACCTGGTGATGCAGGCGCTAGTCATGAAGACACTCATGTCTTCACAGAGTATGAGCTTGGTGTCTCATACTCTCCTGATACGGAAGACGGATCCGTATCGACGGCGATTGAATCCAAACCGCCTGCCAAGCGTGGCATGGATGATGCTATGCGTCGTAGCATCTTTGGTTCGTCTGACGAATCAGATGAACCATCGCCGAAGCGAAGGCGCTCGAGGTCGCGAGACTCGGGCGCTAACAGTGGTGTCGGTTCTCCTATTGACACCACTTCACAGCGAGGTGCCAGTACTTCTGTCGGCACGTCGCAGGAAGAGCGGGACCGCAATGTCTTGCGTCTCGTTCCTGAGAAGAAGGCATGAATACCTCCTAAATCTGTCATGGATCACTTGTCGGCGACGACGAGTGATCGTTATCGAACACGGTTGTTCGATTCGTCAAGGATCCATCACCTTGACCCCAGCGCGAAAAACTATCGCGCTGAGAATGAGTTCTTCATCGATGCTTTCTTCAAACATCGATGGTACAGTGGGAATCACAAACGTGATGGTCCCTCACTGCTTCAAGCGTGGAACGCCTACATCCATAACCTTAAGTATGTAGGTCGTGACGCTCGGAACGACAAACTTATCAAAGCTCGTGATAAGTTTGAGGAAAGAACCCCGACAGGTGCACGCTATAAGCTGCATCGTCTGTCAAAGGAGAAAGGATTACCCTGCCTCTCTTGTGGAGACTCGTGCCCATGTTGTGTGAACAACTCTGCACGAGCACCTAAGGAGGCTTACCTCCCTAATTAGCCCGTGGTGGCGCGTACGTATCTCTAGTGAGATGTACGAAGGGATTGACAACCTGAAATCCCTTTACGACCGTGCCGGGAAGACTTTCTCCGGCGGTCCTTCTGCGGCACAGGATGTGCCGCGTCGTACTGCTCAACCAGACCCAGTACGTCAACCATCAGTTGGGAGCGGGGCTCCCAAGAATCCCAGGACGGGGGATAGCCGCGCCACCGGACGAGATAACTCGTCCGACGTCCGTTCACGTCGCGGTGGTTCAACAGCTGCTCAACCAGATAGCGCTGGCCACCGCGAGAGTCCTCTAATGGAGGTGGAGGAGGAGGAAAGACGCTCTCCACACGATCGTGGGGATCCGTGTGTTCCCGAGAGCTTCTTTGATCGCGTAACGCAAGGGTTACGCGGCGATCTCGAACATGAGCGGGACAGACGTCTCCAACTGGCGGACGCTGTCTCGAAGCATCGAGCTGAGTTTGCCTTTGCTCAGCTTGAGAACGAGAGATCTCTGACATCTCTTCGTAGCGAGCTACGGGTAGCTCGTGGGATTGTTGACCGGTCTCGTGATGAGATATCTGCTCTTCAGACCCTTGTCGATGCCCACCATCGGGAGCACAAGGCTCTCTGCGAGATGCTTGAGCGCAAGGGCGTTCTTCATCGGAAGAAGCAGCGTACTGATGGTACGGCTTAAGCAGACCAACGTAAAACGTGGGATGCGTTCGCATCTTACGTGGTAATTCGATCGTGTATGCATTGCCTAGGCGGTGCAATACACGAAATGGGCCGATGTACTTGGGTAGAAGTTTACTACTACCCACGTTAGTCACTACATGCTTTGATAGATTAACCGTAGACAGTAGGACTAAGTCACCTTTATTAAATAAAAGAGTGTTTGCCCTTCCATTCTTATCAGCGTTTTGCTTTTGCTTATCCACCGCTTCGGCGATGGAGTCTTGCACAAAACGGACTACCGTTTCACGAGCCAGTATGAACTCATCTGATGACTCGTTAGCTTCAGTGCGCTGTGAGCGCACTGCAGCAACATCAACCTTTTCTTCAGTGAGGGCTTCCGCACTCTCACTGGCATCATCTTCTTCGATATCGATGTTATCGATATCGGCATCAAACGCAATGACTTCTTCGTCAGAGCGTGATAAGCGTGAACCAATTCGGTTTTTGCTCGCGCGAGTCCCTCCCCCCCTTAAACCAGAGTTACACTCTAGTAAGGTGGGTACACGCGGATGGCGCAAGCCATTCACGTAAAACGGTGTATGTGTCGTGGACGCGTGCACCGAGTTGTTGATGGAAAACTCTACCATTGGCAAAAACACACTCCAACTCTTAAAGGAGTGTACGTATCCTCGAAGTATCTCTTCAAGGACACGATTGGCACGTTCCGTCTGACCATCTGACTCTGGATGATCAGATGTTGACATCTTCAAGCGCGTTCCGAGTGATTTGAACGCGGAACGCCAGAAATCAGCAGTGAATCGTGGATCTCTGTCTGATACGAGTTCACGGGGCAACCCATGAAGTCGGAAGATGGTGTCAATAAAGACACAAGCACAGCCACTTGCCGTGATTGTCTCTGGTACAGCCACAAGGTGTACCATTTTGCTGAATCTGTCAACAAATACGAGAATACCCGTATTCCCGCGTGCGTCTTTGGCTAACCCGAAGACGAAATCCATTGAGATGGATTCCCAGCACTCAGCCGGAACCGGTAGAGGCTGAAAGGTGCACGCAGTGAAGGACTTGACTTCACTCGTTGACAGACTTCGCATGCGCGAACGTACTTGCGCACGAACTAATACTGGCGGGGCCAGTAAAAGTCTCGACTTACCGTGAGATTTGTTTTCTCCCGGCCACGATGTCCTCCTATAGAAGCATCGTGATACTCGAACATGATCCGCAAACGCAGATCAGTATCATCTAGAATGACAGCACGTGGTGTGTCACCAGGAACGGCTGTATAATACAGTGAACCGTTGCGAGTAGTGTATCGATCTGATGCAGATCGATACGCAGACGACAATCGTTTCAACGATTCTCGAGATGGTTGGGAGAGATGTGTCAACAACTTCACTATCTCACCATCTTGGGCGTATCCCCGCCTCACATCATCATACAACGTTGTAGATGGGACTGAGGACGTCATAACCGCAACAGTGACTGTCTTACTGTTGGGTTTCGCGACTGTTTCAAAGTCGGGACGACGTGAGAGTGCATCAGCGACGACATTAAGTCGTCCTGGTTTGTACTCGACCGTAAAGTTGTATTCCGCAAAGAATGACAACCACCGCGCCATTCGTTGTGAAAGGTGCGGGCTGTTCACTGCCGTGCGTAATGACGCATGGTCAGTGTAAACAACGAAGGGTCTATCTCCTAATAGATAGACTCTGAACTTCGCGAGTGCATACTTCATGGCAAGGAGTTCCTTGTCATGCACTGGATAGTTCCGCTCAGCTGGTTGCAGCTGACGCGACTGATAGCAGACGACGCGTTCAACGCCTTCAAGATCGTACTGCATTAATGCACAGCCGATTGCGAAATCGCTGGCATCACAGACCACATGAAATGGCCTGTCCTGATCAGCAATTGCTAGGACTGGGGATTGTATCAAGCTCTTCTTGATACCCTCAAAGGAGCGTTGACATTCAGCGTTCCATAACCACCTCTCGTTCTTTTTCAACAAACGAGAGAGGTGCACAGTCATCTCGGCGTAATTGCGTGAATACTTATGCAAATACGCCGCTAGCCCAAGGAATTTTCGAAGACATTTGACATCAACCGGCATAGGCCAGTCGGTGATCGCCTTGATCTTTTCGGGATCAGGACGTACACCGTTCTTACCAACGATGCACCCAAGAAGTGGTATTTCGCTTGCTGCAAATATACATTTCTTGAGGTTTGCATACAATTGATGCTTTCGCGTGATTGTAAGAACCTGTCGGACGTGGTATCTGTGAACCTCAACGTCCGACTTTCCATCCATAGCGCGACTATGGATGAATACGTCATCGAAATAACTCGGCGCGAATTCTCGTACCGGTCTCAACAGATGTGATACACATCTGTTGAACGTGGCAGGGGCATTACTGAGCCCTTGTGGCATTACTAGCCATTCCCAGAGCATGCCGCTAGGCGTGCTAACTGCGGTATAGGGTATATCCCGTTCCCGCATAAGGATTTGATAGAAGCCATCCATCAAATCCATGGACGAAAAGATGGTGCTCTTTGACATACCATCAATGATTACGTCCTTCCTCGGTATCGGCGTCTGTGCCGGTACCGTTGCAGCATTCAACTTGTTGAATGCATGCACTATCCGCCACCCTCCTGTTGCTTTTCGCACACAGAAGGTCGGATAGCTATGTGGGGAAGTTGATTCCCTCACATGACCAGCCGCTAAACGATCGGCAAAGAACTTGTCGATCGCAAGTACTTGTTCACGAGGCAGTGGCCACTGCTTCATGACACAGTACTTCGAGCCTGGTTTAAGCTCGACCTCGTGTCGAATGCCTTTATCCTTCGGTAATTCGCACGGAACAGTTTCAGGGAATACATCCTTGAATTCAACCAAATCTTCATAGAGAGGATTCTTGAGCGATTCCCATGATTGGGAGTCATATCGCTCAATTCGTGTCTTTTCATCTAGAACACTCTCATCCATCGATGAACTACTGAGAACTCTCTCGTTCTCAGTGAACACTGTTGCTGACCTTATGTCGGTTACACACTCGTCGTCAGCGACGAGTATGCAGATCTGCTTGACTTTGCCACTACGCAGATCACGCAAGAACCTTTTATGTTCGAGCGTTGGCAACTGAGTGATCTCCGAAGTCAACTTCGGAGGCGCAATCACATCAAGTGTATAAGCGCCTACACTTGATCCGTTATTGACTATGACATTCAATGTCTCTGTCATTTCCTGGGGAATTATTCCCTCAGGCTTCGAAGGACTTATTCCTTCTTCTTCCCGGGGACTTATTCCCTCGGGTTTCGGGGAACTTATTTCCGCCGTATTTGTAATATCGGGACTTATTCCCTTTACTTCCTCTAGCTGTGGTTGCGCAACCACAGCGAGATCCTCTACGAAAGACTCTCCAGTCGATCTAGGATTATCGTTTCGCTTAACCTGAGCGATCGATTGTTTATCTTCTAGATGTTCCCCGCTAGGGATACACCTTTGTCCCGGTCCACTCGACTTATTCGAGTGGTGGACCTTCGGCGCAGCCAGTGTTTCCTCACAGCCGCCGAAACTTTGCTCCGAAGTGTAACCGTTTGTTACACTAAGGTTTTGTGCAGTCGTACTAACGACCGTACCACAAGTGAGGCCATCGCACTCACTCGTAGTACATCCACACGCTTGTGGACGCTCCAAAACGTTCATCAGATGGTCATCTGATGAACAAGCGGCAGAGCATCGTTACTGTTCGATGTTGCCAGTTTACCCGTGGTTCGTACCTTCTGAGCCACGGTATTCCAGGATGACATCAAATTTGTCATCCAAATCCAATACGATAAAGTCATCGTCATATTGGGTATCTTCTAGCGTATAGTGGATCTTCACTATACGCTTCATGACTGATTACGGATGCGCCTGTCGCAAGACGTACCGTCATCCTCGTAGGAGGTGTGTCACATTCACTGAATTGAAAGTGACCATCTTCTAGCGATTGGCGTCGCACAAAATTGTTGGACGCCCCACAATCGACTAGAGCTCGAAGGGACAACTTATTCGTCACTTCGAGTTTCAAGGTAATGAGTGAGATCTCATTACCTAGAGCAGCAACACGCAACGTTTGTGTGTTGGGAGCAACCTTCGTCAAGAGGCCTACAAATTCTCTTGACGTTGCTGGACTCCAGTAGGGTGCTCCGCACCTACTGATCCTGACCGTTTTTTGACGGTCCATCCCGTTGTTGCGTCTTTGCACCAACAGCGGACCCGCGTCCCTGCCCCTTTCTCATGGGTGGACGGTCACTACGCCCAGTGTTGCGAGACACTGGACGAGGGCCACTACACTCATAAGCGTAGTGTCCTGTCTTCTGACATCTGTTGCATTTCTGCAACTTCTTGTAGTCTGTAGAGCGAGCCTTCTCGCTCTCTACATAACAGAGTTCCATCGACTCTGGACCTCCGTTTTCATATCGTCTCGGTTGACGATATGATGTCGAGCTGGCGCGAGCCTGTCTCAGACTGAAGTCTTCCTGTTCCGCAATGGAAATGGCTTGTTCTAGTGAATCTAGTTCAATCCGGAACAGGTGAGTCCTGACGGGACCATCCGCAAGACCCTGCATAAACACCGAAACCAACGTGTGTTCATCCACCGGATTGGAACTTATACAACTCGTGAGATGTCGTATATGTTGCGCGTAAGCGTGCACATCACGCTTACCCTGCTTGAGCTTCAAGAGTTCGGTTCGAGCTCTGAACTCAGCTCTAGGCAGTTCAAACGTTTGTCTGAGGCCGCGACTTGAAGACTTCTAACGACCCAAACGCATATGGGTCGTGCAACTTGAGCCTCAGTGCCCAAGTCTTGGCACGTCCTGCCAGATTTGACTGGGCAAATGCAACTTGCATATCCCCGTCGTCGATGCGACGCGCCCTTATGGCGTCATCCAATTCGACGAACCATCTCAAGAGGGAGTCTTCTTCGACTCCCCTATACTTGGAGATGTCAATCTTCAAGGCCTCGGGTCGACGCGAATGCATCGACCCACCAGCAGTAGCCTGCTGCTGTCTCAACAGTTCAAACTGTTGAGCACCCTGTTCTCTCAACAACTCTGCTTGTTGAGAACCTTGTTGGTGAAGCAAGGCTACTTTCTCGCGTTCGGCGTCAAGTTCATTTTGAATGACTTGGCGATAGTAGCATGTTGGGCATCTCTATTGAGAGCCTCTAGCATGACGCTAACATCATGGATGCCCATGGTTGAACCCATCCGTTCAACCGCATCCCATTCGACATTGCTCAAATGGGAGTAGCCGTCACGCGTAGCGTGAAAGCTTTGGTCATCTTCATCATCCAACATATTCATGTTGGATGTGAACGTGGTCCTTGGACGGACTACGAAGTGCTACCAGGTGTAACGGGGCACCCTGAAGCTTGTACTGGTGACAGTACAAGCTACTTATTCTGATGACAGAATAAGGCGGTGCCTCGGAACTTCACGTACACTCGTACGTGCAGAGGAAGACGATAAGAAGAAGCGAGTACTTGGTTAAAGTAAAAAGTAGAACTGTATTTGTAATAGTTAATGTCTGCAATAAATCACTATTTATCTTCATCTAACTATGTCTAAATACAAATGTGTAAATCAACTATCTGCTCACCACTCATTGCGTGCGTCTGTCGCCGCGCGTCTTCGTTGGTCGATATAATGGCCTATATCAACCAATTAGGATTTACTCGTAAGTGCTACAGAATATTTGTCCTTATGACAATATTCTGAGAATATAGCTCTTATAGTTATATTCTATTAACAATTTCTTATAAATTGTTATGTAACGATTCACCCCGTTACACCCGAAGTATCTAGCACTACATTCCAGGCAATTATATTGCAGCTCTCGTGCATTTCAACAGTCGAACACGTGTTTGAGAGACTTCCAATGTCATTTCAAGATTGCAAAGAAGAAAAGTGAAATGACAATTACGTCCCCACTGGATGGCGGGATAGATCACGGAGCAGAATTGGCACAGCAGTATTGTAACGGGGTGAATCGTTACATAACAATTTATAAGAAATTGTTAATAGAATATAACTATAAGAGTTATATTCTCAGAATATTGTCATAAGGACAAATATTCTGTAGCACTTACGAGTAAATTCTAATTGGTTGATATAGGCCATTATATCAACCAACGAAGACGCGCCACGACAGACGCACGCAATGAGTGGTGAGCAGATAGTTGATTTACACATTTGTATTTAGACATAGTTAGATGAAGATAAATAGTGATTTATTGCAGACATTAACTATTACAAATACAGTTCTACTTTTTACTTTAACCAAGTACTCGCTTCTTCTTATCGTCTTCCTCTGCACGTACGAGTGTACGTGAAGTTCCGAGGCACCGCCTTATTCTGTCATCAGAATAAGTAGCTTGTACTGTCACCAGTACAAGCTTCAGGGTGCCCCGTTACACCTGGTAGCACTTCGTAGTCCGTCCAAGGACCACGTTCACATCCAACATGAATATGTTGGATGATGAAGATGACCAAAGCTTTCACGCTACGCGTGACGGCTACTCCCATTTGAGCGATGTCGAATGGGATGCGGTTGAACGGATGGGTTCAAACATGGGCATCCATGATGTTAGCGTCATGCTAGAGGCTCTCAATAGAGATGCCCAACATGCTACTATCGCCAAGTCATTCAAAATGAACTTGACGCCGAACGCGAGAAAGTAGCCTTGCTTCACCAACAAGGTTCTCAACAAGCAGAGTTGTTGAGAGAACAGGGTGCTCAACAGTTTGAACTGTTGAGACAGCAGCAGGCTACTGCTGGTGGGTCGATGCATTCGCGTCGACCCGAGGCCTTGAAGATTGACATCTCCAAGTATAGGGGAGTCGAAGAAGACTCCCTCTTGAGATGGTTCGTCGAATTGGATGACGCCATAAGGGCGCGTCGCATCGACGACGGGGATATGCAAGTTGCATTTGCCCAGTCAAATCTGGCAGGACGTGCCAAGACTTGGGCACTGAGGCTCAAGTTGCACGACCCATATGCGTTTGGGTCGTTAGAAGTCTTCAAGTCGCGGCTCAGACAAACGTTTGAACCGCCTAGAGCTGAGTTCAGAGCTCGAACCGAACTCTTGAAGCTCAAGCAGGGTAAGCGTGATGTGCACGCTTACGCGCAACATATACGACATCTCACGAGTTGTATAAGTTCCAATCCGGTGGATGAACACACGTTGGTTTCGGTGTTCATGCAGGGTCTTGCGGATGGTCCCGTCAAGACTCACCTGTTCCGGATTGAACTAGATTCACTAGAACAAGCCATTTCCATTGCGGAACAGGAAGACTTCAGTCTGAGACAGGCTCGCGCCAGCTCGACATCATATCGTCAACCGAGACGATATGACAACGGAGGTCCAGAGCCGATGGAACTCTGCTATGTAGAGAGCGAGAAGGCTCGCTCTACAGACTACAAGAAGTTGCAGAAATGCAACAGATGTCAGAAGACAGGACACTACGCTTATGAGTGTAGTGGCCCTCGTCCAGTGTCTCGCAACACTGGGCGTAGTGACCGTCCACCCATGAGAAAGGGGCAGGGACGCGGGTCCGCTGTTGGTGCAAAGACGCAACAACGGGATGGACCGTCAAAAAACGGTCAGGATCAGTAGGTGCGGAGCACCCTACTGGTCCAGCAACGTCAAGAGAATTTGTAGGCCTCTTGACGAAGGTTGCTCCCAACACACAAACGTTGCGTGTTGCTGCTCTAGGTAATGAGATCTCACTCATTACCTTGAAACTCGAAGTGACGAATAAGTTGTCCCTTCGAGCTCTAGTCGATTGTGGGGCGTCCAACAATTTTGTGCGACGCCAATCGCTAGAAGATGGTCACTTTCAATTCAGTGAATGTGACACACCTCCTACGAGGATGACGGTACGTCTTGCGACAGGCGCATCCGTAACCGTCATGAAGCGTATAGTGAAGATCCACTATACGCTAGAAGATACCCAATATGACGATGACTTTATCGTATTGGATTTGGATGACAAATTTGATGTCATCCTTGGAATACCGTGGCTCAGAAGGTACGAACCACGGGTAAACTGGCAACATCGAACAGTAACGATGCCTGCCGCTTGTTCATCAGATGACCATCTGATGAACGTTTTGGAGCGTCCACAAGCGTGTGGATGTACTACGAGTGAGTGCGATGGCCTCACTTGTGGTACGGTCGTTAGTACGACTGCACAAAACCTTAGTGTAACAAACGGTTACACTTCGGAGCAAAGTTTCGGCGGCTGTGAGGAAACACTGGCTGCGCCGAAGGTCCACCACTCGAATAAGTCGAGTGGACCGGGACAAAGGTGTATCCCTAGCGGGGAACATCTAGAAGATAAACAATCGATCGCTCAGGTTAAGCGAAACGACAATCCTAGATCGACTGGAGAGTCTTTCGTAGAGGATCTCGCTGTGGTTGCGCAACCACAGCTAGAGGAAGTAAAGGGAATAAGTCCCGATATTACAAATACGGCGGAAATAAGTTCCCCGAAACCCGCGGGAATAAGTCCCCGGGAAGCCGAAGGAATAAGTCCTTCGAGGCCTGAGGGAATAATTCCCCAGGAAATGACAGAGACATTAAATGTCATAGTCAATAACGGATCAAGTGTAGGCGCTTATACACTTGATGTGATTGCGCCTCCGAAGTTGACTTCGGAGATCACTCAGTTGCCAACGCTCGAACATAAAAGGTTCTTGCGTGATCTGCGTAGTGGCAAAGTCAAGCAGATCTGCGTACTCGTCGCTGACGACGAGTGTGTAGCCGACATAGGGTCAGCAACATGTTTACGGAGAACGAGAGAGTTCTCAGTAGTTCATCGATGGATGAGAGTGTTCTAGATGAAAAGACACGAATTGAGCGATATGACTCCCAATCATGGGAATCGCTCAAGAATCCTCTCTATGAAGATTTGGTTGAATTCAAGGATGTATTCCCTGAAACTGTTCCGTGCGAATTACCGAAGGATAAAAGCATTCGACACGAGGTCGAGCTTAAACCAGGCTCGAAGTACTGTGTCATGAAGCAGTGGCCACTGCCTCGTGAACAAGTACTTGCGATCGACAAGTTCTTTGCCGATCGTTTAGCGGCTGGTCATGTGAGGGAATCAACTTCCCCACATAGCTATCCGACCTTCTGTGTGCGAAAAGCAACAGGAGGGTGGCGGATAGTGCATGCATTCAACAAGTTGAATGCTGCAACGGTACCGGCACAGACGCCGATACCGAGGAAGGACGTAATCATTGATGGTATGTCAAAGAGTACCATCTTTTCGTCCATGGATTTGATGGATGGCTTCTATCAAATCCTTATGCGAGAACGGGATATACCCTATACCGCAGTTAGCACGCCTAGTGGCATGCTCTGGGAATGGCTAGTGATGCCACAAGGGATTAGTAATGCCCCTGCCACGTTCAACAGATGTGTATCACATCTGTTGAGACCGGTACGAGAATTCGCGCCGAGTTATTTCGATGACGTATTCATCCATAGTCGCGCTATGGATGGAAAGTCGGACGTTGAGGTTCACAGATACCACGTCCGACAGGTTCTTACAATCACGCGAAAGCATCAATTGTATGCAAACCTCAAGAAATGTATATTTGCAGCAAGCGAAATACCACTTCTTGGGTGCATCGTTGGTAAGAACGGTGTACGTCCTGATCCCGAAAAGATCAAGGCGATCACCGACTGGCCTATGCCGGTTGATGTCAAATGTCTTCGAAAATTCCTTGGGCTAGCGGCGTATTTGCATAAGTACTCACGCAATTACGCCGAGATGACTGTACACCTCTCTCGTTTGTTGAAAAAGAACGAGAGGTGTTTATGGAACGCTGAATGTCAGCGCTCCTTTGATGGTATCAAGAAGAGCTTGATACAATCCCCAGTCCTAGCAATTGCTGATCAGGACAGGCCATTTCATGTGGTCTGTGATGCCAGCGATTTTGCAATCGGCTGTGCATTAATGCAGTACGATCTTGAAGGCGTTGAACGCGTCATCTGCCATCAGTCGCGTCAGCTGCAACCAGCTGAGCGGAACTATCCAGTGCATGACAAGGAACTCCTTGCCATGAAGTATGCACTCGCGAAGTTCAGAGTCTATCTATTAGGAGATAGACCCTTCGTTGTTTACACTGACCATGCGTCATTACGCACGGCAGTGAACAGCCCGCACCTTTCACAACGAATGGCGCGGTGGTTGTCATTCTTTGCGGAATACAACTTTACGGTCGAGTACAAACCAGGACGACTTAATGTCGTCGCTGATGCACTCTCACGTCGTCCCGACTTTGAAACAGTCGCGAAACCCAACAGTGAGACAGTCACTGTTGCGGTTATGACGTCCTCAGTCCCATCTACAACGTTGTATGATGATGTGAGGCGGGGATACGCCCAAGATGGTGAGATAGTGAAGTTGTTGACACATCTCTCCCAACCATCTCGAGAATCGTTGAAACGATTGTCGTCTGCGTATCGATCTGCATCAGATCGATACACTACTCGCAACGGTTCACTGTATTATACAGCCGTTCCTGGTGACACACCACGTGCTGTCATTCTAGATGATACTGATCTGCGTTTGCGGATCATGTTCGAGTACCACGATGCTCCTATAGGAGGACATCGTGGCCGTGAGAAAACAAATCTCACGGTGAGTCGAGACTTTTACTGGCCCCGCCAGTATTAGTTCGTGCGCAAGTACGTTCGCGCATGCGAAGTCTGCCAACGAGTGAAGTCAAGTCCTTCACTGCGTGCACCTTTATAGCCTCTACCGGTTCCGGCTGAGTGCTGGGAATCCATATCAATGGATTTTGTCTTCAGGTTTCCCAAAGACGCACGCGGGAATACGGGTATTCTCGTATTTGTTGACAGATTCAGCAAAATGGTACACCTTGTGGCTGTACCAGAGTCAATCACGGCAAGCGGCTGTGCTTGTGTCTTTATTGACACCATCTTCCGACTTCATGGGTTGACCCGTGAACTCGTATCAGACAGAGATCCACGATTCACTGCTGATTTCTGGCGTTCCGTGTTCAAATCACTCGGAACGCGCTTGAAGATGTCAACATCTGATCATCCAGAGTCAGATGGTCAGACGGAACGTGCCAATCGTGTCCTTGAAGAGATACTTCGAGGATACGTACACTCCTTTAAGAGTTGGAGTGTGTTTTTGCCAATGGTAGAGTTTTCCATCAACAACTCGGTGCACGCGTCCACGACACATACACCGTTTTACGTGAATGGCTTGCGCCATCCGCGTGTACCCACCTTACTAGAGTGTAACTCTGGTTTAAGGGGGGGAGGGACTCGCGCGAGCAAAAACCGAATTGGTTCACGCTTATCACGCTCTGACGAAGAAGTCATTGCGTTTGATGCCGATATCGATAACATCGATATCGAAGAAGATGATGCCAGTGAGAGTGCGGAAGCCCTCACTGAAGAAAAGGTTGATGTTGCTGCAGTGCGCTCACAGCGCACTGAAGCTAACGAGTCATCAGATGAGTTCATACTGGCTCGTGAAACGGTAGTCCGTTTTGTGCAAGACTCCATCGCCGAAGCGGTGGATAAGCAAAAGCAAAACGCTGATAAGAATGGAAGGGCAAACACTCTTTTATTTAATAAAGGTGACTTAGTCCTACTGTCTACGGTTAATCTATCAAAGCATGTAGTGACTAACTTGGGTAGCAGTAAACTTCTACCCAAGTACATCGGCCCTTTTCGTGTATTGCACCTCCTAGGCAATGCATACACGATCGAGTTACCACGTAAGATGCGAACGCATCCCACGTTTTACGTTGGTCTGCTTAAGCCGTACCATCAGTACGCTGCTTCTTCCGATGAAGAACGCCCTTGCGCTCAAGCATCTCGCAGAGAGCCTTGTGCTCCCGATGGTGGGCATCAACAAGGGTCTGAAGAGCAGATATCTCATCACGAGACCGGTCAACAATCCCACGAGCTACCCGTAGCTCGTCACGAATAGACGTCAGAGATCTCTCGTTCTCAAGCTGAGCAAAGGCAAACTCAGCTCGATGCTTCGAGACAGCGTCCGCCAGTTGGAGACGTCTGTCCCGCTCATGTTCGAGATCGCCGCGTAACCCTTGCGTTACGCGATCAAAGAAGCTCTCGGAAACACACGGGTCCCGACGATCGTGTGGAGAGCGTCTTTCCTCCTCCTCCACCTTCATTAGAGGACTCTCGCGGTGGCCAGCGCTATCTGGTTGAGCAGCTGTTGAACCACCGCGACGTGAACGGACGTCGGACGAGTTATCTCGTCCGGTGGCGCGGCTATCCCCCGTCCTGGGATACTTGGGAGCCCCGCTCCCAACTGATGGTTGACGTACTGGGTCTGGTTGAGCAGTACGACGCGGCACATCCTGTGCCACAGAAGGACCGCCGGAGAAAGTCTTCCCGGCACGGTCGTAAAGGGATTTCAGGTTGTCAATCCCTTCGTACATCTCACTAGAGATACGTACGCGCCACCACGGGCTAATTAGGGAGGTAAGCCTCCTTAGGTGCTCGTGCAGAGTTGTTCACACAACATGGGCACGAGTCTCCACAAGAGAGGCAGGGTGCCCACCCTCCTTTGACAGACGATGCAGCTTATAGCGTGCACCTGTCGGGGTTCTTTTCTCAAACTTATCACGAGCTTTGATAAGTTTGTCGTTCCGAGCGTCACGACCTACATACTTAAGGTTATGGATGTAGGCGTTCCACGCTTGAAGCAGTGAGGGACCATCACGTTTGTGATTCCCACTGTACCATCGATGTTTGAAGAAAGCATCGATGAAGAACTCATTCTCAGCGCGATAGTTTTTCGCGCTGGGGTCAAGGTGATGGATCCTTGACGAATCGAACAACCGTGTTCGATAACGATCACTCGTCGTCGCCGACAAGTGATCCATGACAGATTTAGGAGGTATTCATGCCTTCTTCTCAGGAACGAGACGCAAGACATTGCGGTCCCGCTCTTCCTGCGACGTGCCGACAGAAGGACTGGCACCTCGTTGCGAAGTGGTGTCAATAGGAGAACCGACACCACTGTTAGCGCCCGAGTCTCGCGACCTCGAGCGCCTTCGCTTCGGCGATGGTTCATCTGATTCGTCAGACGAACCAAAGATGCTACGACGCATAGCATCATCCATGCCACGCTTGGCAGGCGGTTTGGATTCAATCGCCGTCGATACGGATCCGTCTTCCGTATCAGAAGAGTATGAGACACCAAGCTCATACTCTGTGAAGACATGAGTGTCTTCATGACTAGCGCCTGCATCACCAGGTGACACAGGCTGAGTCGCTTCAGCAACCGATGAGACATCAGTTGCTGTGGTTTCTGCTTCGGCGTCCGCACAGAGACGTGCGGACGCGCTCTCGGCGGCCTTGCTCGCGCATCGCATGGGCTTGTTAACCATGCGATGAATTGTTGGAGAGTGGACTTGAACCAACAAGTGCAAACCCTGTCCCAAATGATTTGGGACGAGTATCCATTTAGTCAATCAGTCACTAAAGTGACTGATGGTTAAGGGGGGGGTGATGTAACGGGGTGAATCGTTACATAACAATTTATAAGAAATTGTTAATAGAATATAACTATAAGAGCTATATTCTCAGAATATTGTCATAAGGACAAATATTCTGCAGCACTTACGAGTAGTTCCTAATTGGTTGATATAGGCCATTATATCAACCAACGAAGACGCGCGACTACAGACGCACGCAATGAGTGGTGAGCAGATAGTTGATTTACACATTTGTATTTAGACATAGTTAGATGAAGATAAATAGTGATTTATTGCAGACATTAACTATTATAAATACAGTTCTACTTTTTACTTTAACCAAGTACTCGCTTCTTCTTATCGTCTTCCTCTGCACGTACGAGTGTACGTGAAGTTCCGAGGCACCGCCTTATTCTGTCATCAGAATAAGTAGCTTGTACTGTCACTGTAGCGGGGTGAGAGCCCGTTACCGTCTTACACTAATAATTAAGCTGAGGAAGCGCTGTGATTTATAAGGTAAATTTAACTCTGTTTGTATTTTTGTGTTTTTATAATTCGCAGTAAGTGCGAATATGTTCCCTAGCTCATGGGAACCACTCAAATACAGAACTAATTATTATTGGCTAATTATTGGGTCTGGCACCCCAATAATAAATAGACGCGCAGTATCCGCTATCCGGATACTGCCTACACTTAATGTATGTAATTATGTAATAAAACTATGACTACTTAATATAATGGGTTGCCCCATTACATCACCCCCCTCTTTAAGTTGCGCTTACCGTGACGTAAGCGCCATACACAGAAAGTTTCTTCTTAACGAATAGTCCAACGAAAAGCCCAACGAGAACTCCAACGACACGTCATCTTGGTCTTCGAATCTGCTCAGCCACAAACAACTGAGCAGCATGAATCCTGAACACCCACGCGACTCGACCCCAAACGACAGTTGGGGTCATCAGACACTTCGAAGAGAGCGTGCACCGCAGACCATGGATGACGACTTGAAGCCGTGGGGCTTGTACAGCCTTGAAGGCGCGCACCAACCTGAATCACTTGAGACCATGAAGAATCTCTTCACACGATACCGTAACGTTCGAGGCAAGGGAACGAATCACACATACACTGAAGACGCACTGCAACGATCTTGGTGTGCCTTCGTCAGACGTTGGAGCGCGAGTCGACGTGAAGGGGCATCCTTCACGTCCTGGATCGAGGGACGCGAAAGTACTCATGGCGACCACGCTATTGGCGACTTACGACGACGCGTATGTCATTTGACTCGTGATGGGTTCCACATGTGTTACGTTCATGTCCGTGAAGGGTGTCCACGGTGTCACATGGAGAGACCGCGACCAATGCGGCAGGAATGGGACGACATGGTGTGTGCACGGGGAATGCCCCAGCACATCCGACCATGGATCGGACGCTATGAGAGGAGCCTCTCAGAGCTCCAAGTATCTGCGTTGCGTCACATGAGGGAACGCCCTGTCGATCAATGGAGGCGTTCACGTAGTCGAGATCGTTTGTCTTACGACCACCGAGGTCGTTCTCGTAGTCGCTCTCGACCGTCAAGATATCCAAATGCTCCCGAGCCTCGTAGAAGACGTCGGAGTCGCTCGGGAGATCGTCGTCGATCGCCAATTCACGCACGTTACGGTTCGCGGGATCGTGGAAGGAGTCAGCAGCGTCGGTCGCGTTCGCCGACCTCTTACTGGTCTCGTACTCCTCAACGACGTCAGGAACATCGTGATCCAGCATACTTCGAGGCTCCCACGTGTCTTCCGTTGGTGAATAACCCAACCATCGGACCTTGTAATGCGTTTCTGAACGACTCTTCGATGGCGCCGAGCCACTACTCGGCGCAAGAGGCGTGGGGTCTTCATGACCGACGATACGGTCCACAATCCAGCGTCGCTCACCCGATGCATCTACCAAGGGAGGAGGAGCATCACGACGGAAGGCTTCTTGGGTTGGGCGCCGATTCTCATAATCGGGCGCCTGTGCCGTCGAGTGACAAGCTTCGTTTCCTTCGTGCTGACACTGAAGAGGCGATGAACGGCCTTCTGGATGCCCGTGAGATGGCCGAGAGGGCTCGAGATCGTGCAGCAGCTGCGACAGAGGCTGCCGAGAGAACCCGACGGGAGCAGCAGGGCTTGGTGGAGCGTCTGCGACAGCTCGAGACTGCTGCGTTCGGTGGACCCCAGCAGAACGAGTCTGCTCGCGCTCGTCTAGGACTTGGTCCCAGTCGTCGTCAGCGTCGTCGGCAGGGGGTGTCGGACTTTGAGCCGATACAGACGAGTGAGGAAGGACCAAAGGGAGATCCGCCGGCAGGTAAGCCTTAAGGCGCCCGACATAGAATGTCGGGTGCAAACGCATAGTGGTAGGTATGTCTAGCGTGTAAGCATCTCCATGGACTTCAACAATCCGAAAGGGCCCAATATATCTTGGCGCTAATTTATTAGCGCCCAAATTCGTTACTGACGTGTCTGGTAATACGCTTGTCGATAGTAAGACTCTGTCACCTTCTTTGAACGTCAGCAAGTTCTTTCAACCTCGCTTGTCCGCGTTCTCCTTTTGTTTATCCACTGCTTCTTGGAGTGCATCGCGTACAAAACGCGTGATACTTTGCCGTAGTAATAGGAATTCGGTCACAGCAGCCGAACTTACAGGAGAAGTGGACTCTTTAGGAGCAAAATTAGCGACGGGAGACGCGATGGGATGCATCGCGTCGGGACTCGATATGCCATTGGCCACGAAATTAACAGTATGAGTTGCATCGGCAGTAACCTTGTCTTCAACATTACCAATCATCAAAAATTTTCGCGTAGTGTCATCGGGAGATACTCCCCCACCAAGCTGAGAAACTGGGTGTGCTGAAGCTGAAAGAGCAAGAAGCGCTGGAACGCGAGGGTGCCTCGCGTTATTCACGAAAAATGGCGTTAACCCAGTCGACGCATGAATTGCGTTGTTGATTGCAAATTCAGCGAGAGGGAGAAACGAACTCCACGACTGGAAAGATGTTGCATAACTGCGTAGTACATCTTCAAGCACTCTGTTCACGCGCTCCGTTTGCCCATCCGTCTCTGGATGGGCTGCCGTAGACATAAGCAGTCGCGTGCCCAATAGTTGAAACAACGTTGCCCAAAAAGCTGATGTAAAGCGCGGGCCGCGGTCCGAAACAATTGATTCAGGCAAGCCGTGATGTCGAAATATGAGATCGATGAAGATCTGCGCGGTCGTCTCCGCCGTAACGTGCGCGGAGACTGGAGCAAAATGCACCATTTTGCTAAATCGATCCACAAAACCCAATACGCCCGTGCGTTTCTGTTCGTCCGGAGGGAGACCAAAGATGAAATCCATGCTGACCGAACGCCAGGCTTCCGTGGCTATCGGAAGCGGACGCAATGGAGCTTGTGAAGACGGCGCAGGCTTCACACGCTGGCATATTTCACAAGAGCGTACCCATTTCTGGATGTATTTGTACATACGCGGCCAGAAAAACACACGAGAGATGGCCGCGAACGTCTTCTCGCGACCCAAATGACCACCAATTGGAGTGTCATGAAATTCATGCACCAATCGTGCGCGGAGGTCGTCATCAGCAGGGATGACGACGCGCGGTGGGTCGAAAACGTCCATTGTATAAGTCAGCAGCGGACCATCAAGCGCGTACCGCTTGATGTTGTCACGCGTTGGTTTCGTCAACTTCGCGAGTGAACCCTCACTAGGGTGTCGAAGATAATTGATGATTCCCGTGTAGAATGAATCGTTCGCATATGACTCAGCGATTTGAGTCCGGATTGACAGCTCAGGTGTCGAAATCATTGCATTGAGCCCCTGCTCAGCACAGCATAAACAAATGTCGTCGTCCTCGTCTACAGCAATGCCTGGCTGATGACCCATGTCACGTCGAGGATCATAATCGGGACGTCGAGAAAGCGCGTCAGCAAGAATGTTGTTCTTGCCGGGTTTGTAAAAGACCACGAAATTATACTCTGAGAAGTATGACAACCAACGTGCCATACGCTGGGACAAGTGGGGAGTCTTGACGGCGGTACGCAATGATGCGTGATCTGTATAGAACGAAAACATCTTCTTGCCGAGCAAATATACTCTGAACTTGATCAGCGCGTAACGCATAGCCAAAAGTTCCTTGTCATGTACCGGATAGTTCCGCTCTGCGGGTTTCATCTGTCGTGACTGAAAGATCACGACGCGCTCTCGGCCCTCATCGTCAAACTGCATGAGGGCACATCCAATAGCGAAATTACTCGCATCACAGACGACGTGAAATGGCTTGGAATCATCAGGCAACATCAGCACTGGTGCTTCAGACAAGCTCTTTTTCACAGAGTTGAAGGCAGAGTGATGTTCAGCTTTCCATGACCAAACTGCGTCTTTCTTCAGTAGAGTCGATAGTGGCTGGATTAGTTCTGCATAGTTCTTCGTATACTTATGCAAGTAATTGGCCAAGCCAAGCCATTGGCGTAGTTCCGTTTGGTTCCTGGGCGTAGGCCATGAACATATCGATGACACTTTCTCGGGTTCAGCATGGACACCTTCCTTGCTAACATAGCATCCAAGAACTGGAATCTCGGGAGCGCAGAAGACGCACTTCTTCAAATTTGCGTACAGATTGTTCTCGCGCATCACTTGGAACACCTGTTTCAAATGCCGAAGGTGGACCTCCGTAGCGCTGAGTTGTTGCTCAGCGCGGCTGTGAACAAAAATATCGTCGAAATAACTTGGAGCGAAATCACGTAGTGGCCGAAGCACTTGTGTCACCATCCGGTTGAACGTTGCTGGAGCATTCTTAAGGCCTTGTGGCATGACTAGCCACTCCCAAAGCATGCCACTCAGCGTGCTGACAGCGGTGAACGGGATATCACTGTCCCTCATTAAAATCTGGTAAAACCCGTCTGTCAGGTCTATGGCGCTAAAAATCTCGCTGCCGGACATGGTATCCAGTACCATGTCTTTCCGAGGAATTGGTGTTTGAGCCGGGATCGTGGCGTCATTCAACTTGTTAAAAGCATGCACGATGCGCCAACCGCCGGTGGCTTTCTTCACACAGAAAGTCGGACTCGAATGTGGCGATATGCTTTCGCGGACGTGTCCTGCCTTACGGCGGCCCTCAAAAAATTCATCAATTGCGATGACTTGGTCACGCGGTAGCGGCCACTGCCGCGTCACGCAATACTTCGATCCTGGCATGAGATCGATCTCGTGTCGCACACCACGATCCGCTGGAAGCTCAGCGGGGATATTCTCGGAAAGATGTCGGCATACTCACGCGCGATATCATAGACAGGGTTGCCCGAAGCACGAAGGGCTTCCCAAGACTGTGCCACGAAACGTTCTTCGCGCGCTGATTTGGGCTCAGCGCTCTTTGGGCGAGCCTCCAGAACTTCTCCACTAGCTGCTTCGGCGGCTGATATGATGCACACTTGCTCGATGTCGCCGGCCTTGAGGTCGTGAAGAAAATCTTTCCATGGTAGGGTTAATAGAGATGTGATCTCTGCAACAGTGCACGGAGGGCTCGCTACCTCAACGTAGCGGCCACGATGTGAAGACCCTTCCACATATTCAAGCGCACAAACGGATTCCGTCAATACAGTATCATCGTCAACGGCGCTTGAGCGAGAATTTCGTCGTCTTGGTGATCGGCGTGCACCTTTCTTGCGTTTATGCTTTCTCTTGCGTCTTGAGCCACTGCTCGAGGCTGGAACGTCGCTGTCGCTGGAGGATGAAGTACCCCCCGCTAGACGTGGGAGCTCTGTCTCCACCACGTCGTTCACATTTAAGTCCACAGCCCGTTCATTCTCGTCGATAAGAGGCGGGAGCTCGTCGTCGACCGCCTCAGATGTATGTGGGAGCCTCTGCTCGACCACCTCGGTTACAATCGGGAGCCTCTGCTCGGCCGTTGTGTGTGTATGCGGGAGCCCCTGCTCGACCGCCTCGCTAGAACTCGGGAACCCCTGCTCGACCGAAGTCCGTGTGTGCGGGAACCCCTGTTCGACCGCCTCGTTGTGAATCGGGAGCCCCTGCTCGACCGATGTCCGTGTGTGCGGGAACCCCTGTTCGACCGCCTCGTTGTGAATCGGGAGCCCCTGCTCGACCGATGTCTGTGTTTGCGGGAACCTCTGTTCGACCGTCTCGTTGTGAATCGGGAGCCCCTGCTCGACCGATGTCTGGGTTTGCGGGAACCTCTGTTCGACCGCCTCGTGTTGTGGTTCTATCAGTGTGACTGAACATACCGGACACAGAGGGCCATCGCTCTCTCTGTGCTGACTTCTAGTCGTGGCGAGTTCGTTCACGACCCTGACGTGAGGCCAATCGGATGGCGCTACCAACAGATGAGTGAAAACTTCACTTACGTCGTAACCGCTTCGTCGTTTGACGGACCGAGATAGCCAGTCCATCGTCGGCTGATATCGTGACAGCCACGGTATCCCCAAGATGCAATCGAATGCATAATTCATCTCGTACACCAAAAATTCGTCATTACTTTGGAAGCCGTCGAACGTGTACGGCAAAACCACTGTTTTACGCGGGACACGCTGTGGTTGTCCATCAGCAAGTTTGACAACGATGTCACCTGGACCTTCTCGAACCGTAACTGTCGACGGGAGAAGGGACAAACATGATGCTCGAAAGAAGTTGTTGGATGCACCCGAATCCAACAACGCTCGAAGTGGTCGTTTAACTCCAGTAACGATGAGACTGATAATTATCAGTCTCGAATCGTCGCGCATAGTGGTGGCATTGAAGTGGGTATGTATCACTTTAGGGCTAGGAGCCCGAGCTGCCACCTGAGTACTCGGGGATCCATTACTGCCAGTAGGGCGCCCCGCACCTACTGGAACCGCTCGTTTTTTGGCGGGACCACTGACGACACAGTATCTCCACGTGAGACAGCTGTGTTCATGGACACCGGCGCTGGTTCTCGGCAGACGGCCGCACGATGGCCAGTCTTGCCGCACCGATAACACTTCATCGTGTTTTGACTTCGAATGTCGCGGCCAAATTGCTTGCCGCGACCACGAGATGCATCGATAACGTCAATTTCCATAGGCTCTGGGCCAGACGTACGCGGGCGTTGCGACGCTGCCTGCAAATATGACGATGCGACCGTGTAATCTTCACGAAGCGCGAGGGCAAATGCCTCCTCAAGAGTCTTAGGTTCAGCACGTGTGAGGCAATATTGGGTCATGCCCTCTTGCATACCAAAGACAAAGACATGAACATGCGAAGCCATGTCGATCGGCTGCGTGATGATACACGAAGCAAGATGTCGCGTCTTCTGTACGTAATCACGCATCGACAGCTTGCCCTGTCGAAGTGAAAATAAATCTGCACGCAAGCGTGACTCATCTTGAGGGGGCTCGAACGCCAGTCGTAAGTCGCGCTGGATATCGTCCAGCGTGGGGAATGCCAACTCGTTTACAACGAGCTTCCCAAGAGCCCATTCTTTGGCTTTACCAACAAGCCGAGACAGTAGGAAATTAACCTTGGCCGTCGGAGCGTCAATCAACCTTGACGCTATGGCGATATCAATCTCCCTAAACCAGCGATTAAGGGGGAGACGATCTGGACCATCACCAGAGTATGTTGACGTCTCCATTTTAATTGCATCGTAATGGGAGGGGCGCGAGGGAGTATGTACTCGCCGGTTCGCTTCGGCGAGCTCGCGCACCATGTAGTCTTGAATGGCTGCACGGCGTTGTTCGGGCGTCGCTGTGCTCAGCAACGACGTCACGAAGATTTCACCAGACACCGCCGCGAGGCGGTGTAATGCCTGCCATTCTACCGTAGTAAGATGGGGAAAATCTGCATGCTCCAGCGAAACTGCTGGAGCCATCGAAGATTCACTCATATCCATCTCGAACTTGGTCATGGGAAGGACTACAAAGTGCTACCAGGTGTAGCGGGGTGAGAGCCCGTTACCGTCTTACACTAATAATTAAGCTGAGGAAGCGCTGTGATTTATAAGGTAAATTTAACTCTGTTTGTATTTTTGTGTTTTTATAATTCGCAGTAAGTGCGAATATGTTCCCTAGCTCATGGGAACCACTCAAATACAGAACTAATTATTATTGGCTAATTATTGGGTCTGGCACCCCAATAATAAACCAATAATAAATAGACGCGCAGAATCCGCTATCCGGATACTGCCTACACTTAATGTATGTAATTATGTAATAAAACTATGACTACTTAATATAATGGGTTGCCCCATTACAGTCACCAGTACAAGCTTCAGGGTGCCCCGTTACATCGGGTCCGTATATCGTGACATCCATAAGGACAATCGACTCCATGCAGGTGCCATACGTACCCTTTTTAAATAACGCGACTTTTAGCCGCTACCTGTTGTCCATCGATCGGAATGATTACTATAGCACCATTGGTCAAGAGTCCGCTCATGCTTATAGACGATGCTATCGATTGAAAGGTGCCTACGAGCAGACGTATAAACCTCGTTCGATGCACGATAACAAAAACACTGTTCGTATCCATGTGGTCTCTTCTGCACCGACATTACAGCTTTTGATGTTGGATGGCATCATGGCTTATTCATCTTGCGTAACCTCCACGTTATTATTACACAAAATGGCTTTGTGATAAAGTGGCCCTGGCGTAGCTGATTAGTCGGACTATTTCATGCACAATAATACTCTGTTTATAAATGCAAGTAGCGCTTCGAAGCTTGTCTGCGCTAACTCAGCGGCATTGATGTGTGCATGTAATGGGCCATCAAACTTCCATATGATCAGGAAATGAGCAAATGCGAGTGCAAACTCTCCGTCACGCTTAGTTGTGTCCTTGTCAATTTGGCAACGACACAACTAAGCGTGACGGAGAGTCTGTTTAGCGCATAGGCACAGTGCAAATCACAGCAGCGCTTTCGAGCGTTGCTTGTGCTTTCGGATTATACAAAGTTTGGGTGGCGTCGTCAACAGAATCCATTGGTACGCTCGACACACCGTCGCTTTGGAAACTGTACTATGTCACTTACGAATGGATGACAAAGCTGAATGGTGAAAAGGTGTTTTCATATAAACTGCCAAGTTGCTCGATCGATGTTGTGTAAATGTGATGGGTACCTTTGACGCTTTATTTCCAGATTTTTTATCGCTATCGTGCAAAATCTACGTCGCGAATTCGAGCAATCGTTTAGCCATTGCTTCTTTGCAACGATAATCTTAAATATCAAGCAATTGGATCTCGATCGGTTTACCTCCAAATGTCATAAGTGCTGTAATGGATAGAACTTGTAGACTGTAATTTTCTGACCTGTGTCAATCGTAGCACACAATACCAGCACTGCCTTCCATGAAAGCATAAAAAACGGGCACGGCTGTGTGTTGTCGGTGACGTGTGTATTTTTTGGAGGGTATGAAGAGCGAAGCAATCTAGTGAGTATGTGTAACGGGGTTGCACGAAATTATGGTACTTTGTACCAGAGGTGTTACACACCTGAGGGTACCCTTCTGTGAAGGTGATATAGAATATCTTATCGGTTTGTAGGGGCTGACGAGTGTCAGCCATTAGATACGAAAGATCTTTGAGTAGGATTAAGATATTCTATAGGCTTTAACAAAAATAAAATCAGTTCCCATTTTGATCTGAAGGACACGTCGCTTGCGAGCCGTCTTGATCGTTGATCACTGATCACTAAGAGCTAGCGACACCTCCTTGAGGTAGCTACTCTTGAGCACTGAGTGCTGTCGATTCACTGAATCGTTAGGTCCCCCTGGAACAGGGATCTGAAGCTGTAAAGCTTGTTGACTCGTAAAGTCGCTAGTTCTTTGGAACTAAGTTGCTCGTAGAGCGTTAAGTCTTCCTCTGACTTAAGGAGCTGTGTAGCTCCGCTACAGTATGCGTCCGGGAATATGTGACCTCTCGACGGCTACTTTTTGCGTGTGTCTGCCTGTCACGCTAACATAGTGTACACGACCTGCTAGAAACGATCTACTAGATCCTCTACAAATGAGTATGTGCATCGGGTGTCCCTCTTTCGTAAGATAGCCGATAGCGACCGCTTGGGAGTTTATTAGTTATGCACATGCACGCACACACGCATGTGACGGGATACAACGTCGATGAAGGGCAAAAAGCACAATTAAGCAAATGCTCGACGGCTTTGGATGAATAAGGGTCTCTCACCGCCAGCACTTATACCTCAGCAGCATCACCACCAACGGTAGTAGCGTAACAAGCACTTCAACCAGCAGTTAGTATACGCGAGAATGCGCCAGAGTTCACTGAGACGTCAAATGACGAACAATGTCGGCTTTATAGACGCAGTGCAGGGAGAGTTCACACCAGCAAATATCTAGTCTCGCCGAGCTTGTCTTCCCCTATCCTTTCCTTTGACAGGCTGTGAAGGGTTTGTGTCACAAAAATTAGATGAGCATGACTAAGTGTGCTGGTCGAGCAACGTCCGTGAGAGTTGTACGCACTATAGCCACTGTTGTTTCGACTGCGAATTGCTCAGCAGGGTCGAGATCACAACCTATCGACGCAGCAAGAGTATCGTCATTACCCGTTGCACTAATTAATGACCCATAGCAAGACTTACCAGAAGTAACATCGTAGAGGTTCGTGGGGTTGACGACAGAATTGCACTCACTGGGAAACTTTGGTGTGCAAAATGTCTCCGCTTTGGAGCCTCTATAAGAACAGAAAAGATAGGAGCTCAGTGTCACCCTCTTCGCCCAGCAGCAGAGGGAGCTATCTGACTTCCTTTTCCGGATCAGTCAATGTCATGTCGTCATTCGTCGCGCTTTCTTGTCATTGTTGCACAGGTTAGATCAGGTGTCGTATCTCCGTTTTTGGTCCTACTTTCGACACATCAATAGCATCAATGAGTTGCTCCATCACACAACGACATTGAGTTTTCTCCACCACCCCCCGTCCACGGCCGCCAACTTTGACTACCCGACATGAGCACGTGAATATACTAAAGTCGATCTAGTTCTCTGAGCTATAGTACTTACTTCAACAGGCTCCAGAGTTTGACTCTACCTTTATCAAGAACGACTATAACTTGCGATGTGAATCACGTTAGTAAGTGTCGGCAAGGCAAAGATCCCGAGCAATATGTCTCATGTCTTGACGCAACATGCGAGGGACAATTATAGAGGCAGACTACAGTAGTACTGCACATCACCCTTTGTCTCGTTGTAGCGCAGCGCGCCGAAAGGAATATTGCCGTTCATGCACTGCGATTTACCCACACTAGACGCTGCAGCTAGAATTTACCGCTTCGAATTAGAGCATGACAATGATACCCTGCTTAGCTGCACATATAGACGTGCGGTCTCGGCATCTTGATACGTAGGATGGTGTCGTTTGCGCGAGACCCAGAGACGATTTATTCAGTGTGCAGCCCAAATGTTGTTCGCTCATTGCATCGTGGGGAGACATGAACCTGCGACAAAGCAGGCTAATGCCGATCAGACGAGGCTTGTTTTTGCGGCAAAGCCACCACGTTCTACTCCACTCACTTATGTTCTGTATCAACCACGTGCATCAGCTTACTATCGTAAAGTCCGTGTCTTCTGGCTGCCACCACCTCTAGGTACCAAATGTTATTAGATCAGCGACGACCGTGGCGCAACCTCAACAATTCGTCTCAGCGCATTTGCGATAGCTACATACGCATCATAGGGTAGTACCTCACTGTTGAATTCCCCTGTCACAAAGAAATCTATTGGCGACATGCAGCTCCTAGACTATTTTGTAGTGGGGTTCCTAGGCCTTCTGCAGACCTCGCAGGCTGCTATCACTTGCGCGACCACAGCTGACTGTGCATGGGGTGAAACGTGCGTTGCCGGCGATTCCGACTCGGTCATCCAAGCGTGTGTACCCTCCACGGTATGTGGAGGTTCCTCGATGGGCAATTGTCCGTCAGACGATCGTGGCAAACTTGCTTGTCTCTGGAGACCGTTCGACGACTGCAAAGACGGTTGCGCGATCTTGGACGGGAACAAGGGCATGTACAAATGTGTGTCGATTGCGCGGTGTGACGGATACTACGGAGGAGCTGCTTGCAGTGGTACGTCATTGTTTCAACTCCTATTGATTGGATGGAGAAAAAAGTCGTAAGTCTGACAAGTGCGGTTCGATCATACAGACGCTTGCTATGCGAATGGTCTACAATGCAATGGACAGGGCTCGTGTAGTATGGTGTCATCGAATCCGGACGGAACGCCCAAATTCAGCTGCACATGTGAGAACGGCTACAGCGGAGAGAAGTGCGAAGTGGCTTCGACAAACACGCCGCTGATGAATCCCTCATCTGCCGCCGGTGACAAGCGTTTGATTGATGACAACTTCCATTCGGATGCTGGAAAGAACCTTTTGAGGGACGACGTGATGGAACGAGTCGGTGGTGCTTCCACCGACACCGCTGACCATTCATCTACGAACATATCATCCCGTCCTGCTGTCGATCCGGCTGGCACTTCGTTTACTGAAACCTCAGATGAATTACCTTCCACGAGTAACCGGGCCTTCGATCCGTCTGGCTCCGACAAGACTCCCTCAGCAGTACGCCCTTCAGCAGCGACCGACATTGAGTCACTTGCCGGCTCTCCCCGAAGTGGTGTCCATTCAGGCGTGCTTTTTCTCCTGCTAGTGATGGCTGTCGTTTTTCTGCTGGGCACAGTAGTGTTTGTCGCGTACTCGTGCAAGAAGAAACAACAAGAACGAGCAGAGGAGGACGCGTATGCGCTCCGAAGAGCCGGTGTTGCGAACCAGCGAGATCGAGCTGAGAGGCACACGGAGAGTACTCAAAAATCACACATCGTCACCATGTGAATCATGACGTAAGGATGCGTCTGAAAAACTGCCGAAACGATGAACCCTTCGGCTGCCAAGAGGCGAGCAAGACGTGACAGTATAGAGCCGATTGTCATTTCAAAAAAATCAATCTGCGGATGCTTCAAATCGAACTCAGTGACGGTTCCCACACAGACAGACAGACAGACCGACAACCTGGTTTATGGACTGAGAAAAATGCCAGCAGCCACTTTTTACAGAAAGAAGCAGTCGCATGAACAGTGTGTTCGAGCTGAAGCTATCGGCAAACGAGGAGTGCTACGTGTTTTTTGACGTGGCTGACCGTCATGAGCGCCTTTATCAAAGTAACTAACTGCCAATGTCCCCGCTTGTCAGTTCCAACGAACGAAATGTCGCCGGCGAAAACGATATCAAAATAAAAACTTGCGGCGGCGGACGATCAACACCGAGAGTCGCACAGAGTTCAGCGCCACGTCGTGCCCTCTGGGTGAAAAATTGGCCGCTCCATACAAAAACTCAGTGAAATGTTTTTCTGAGACATGCAGCCCGAGCTCTTTCCGAATGCCAGCTGTTGTAGCTCGTCCCTGTTCTACGACCTGCTCGTTTGCCGCAAGCAGCTGGTTGGTCGTTTATCGTGCACTTGTCCCAATACCGACCCCGTGAAGTCAACACGCAGTTCGGAAAATCGCACGTGGCATACAAATTGCAGGTGGAAATTGCGACTTGACAAGTCGCGACATATATCGAACGAGAATGCGACTCTCGGTGCTGCTCTTATGGACTCTGCAGTCAACTGCGACGGCCATGGACACAGCAGCTACGAGTTGCACGACCAATCAGGACTGTAACAATGGCGAGACGTGCGTGGCGGGCGACTCGGCGACGCCCGTCCAGTCGTGCGTGGCTGGTACCGTGTGTGGCGGGTTGACGTCTGGAAACTGTCCCGGGAGTGCAGCGAGTGGTCCTTTGGCCTGTATGTTGCGCGACGGTATTTACAAGTGCTTGTCAATCGAAAGATGTGACGAGTATTTTGGAGGCTCGTTATGCAGTGGTGAGACAGCCATTTCGAGAAAATTAATTGGAAACTGAGAAAATGAGAGGGAGGAGGTATTTGCGGGTTGTGACGAAAGACTGACGGTTTGGGGGCTTTGTGTTGACTGGTGCAGCTGGCTGCAACGTGAATGGCGTGCAGTGCAATGGACAGGGATCGTGCAGTTTATTGTCGGCGACTTTGGATGCGACGCCGCGTTTTGGCTGCACGTGTCTTGATGGCTACAGCGGTGACAAGTGCGAGTCTGGATCAAGTGCAGGCTCAAGTGCCACGTCTGGCTCGTCTTCGAAGACTTCAAGCAGCACCTCCAGCTCGTCAGGCTCTTTGTCTCAGGATTCGAGTCGCTATGTAAGCGCGTCAGGCTCTATAGCTAAGGAATCGAGCAGCTCCGTCAGCGCGTCAGGCTCAATAGCTGAAGAGTCGAGCAGCTCTGCCAGTGCGTCCCGCTCTTTTTCTACGGATGCGAGCAGCTCTGTCAGCGCGTCGGGCTCTTATTCGAAGGATTCTAGCTCGTCCATTAGTTCCTCGGCTAGTGCATCGTCAAGTTCTTCAAGCGCTAGCAGTTTGTCGAGCTCGATATCGGATTCGATGAGTGGCGAATCATCTGCCAGTTTTTCATCGTCTGCAAACGGCTCACTGAAGGGTTCTTCGTCGTCAGCAACTGCTGTATTGGCTGAAGACACTAGCGACAATGAGAACGCGATACCACAGACCACGGACAACGAATCGAGTGGCATCAGCTCAGCGGTGTTTATTATTATCGGCATACTTGCGGCCTGTGTTATCGTCGGAGCGCTCATGTTCGCCCTGTTATCACGAAAGAAGAAGCGGGAACTGGAAGCAGAGGCCGGTGGCTTCGGAGGACCTGCGGCAAACAATGCAACACCAGCGTCTTTAAGCAGCTCAGGGACCGATACGCCAAAGAGCAACATCGTCACCATGTAGATAGATTAGCAAACCCGACAGGATCATGTGATGTCAATGGAGGGGCGTACTCATAAATTATCTTAATGCTAAGGGTTTACGCTTCGTGCTTTCCGTGATAATTTTGAGCGTCATGCAAGGAGCTCTGTCTTATCTCAATGACGATTCGATCGCAGCTTTTATAGCTTTGAGCCACGTGATCAACTTGTACAAAATCGGCTTCACTGTCTTTGGTCAGGCCAGAAGTAAGACTGACGGTCGAGGTACTTTGTGCGATGATGATGCCTAAAAGCGATGATTGAAGGCTGATTTCTCAATTTGAGCTTGCGAGGAGGTGGAGAAATACACGTCGCAGTACGTCATCACGAAAAGCTGCAAATTGGTACAGCACTTGATACTGAGGTATCAGCGAGGTGATGCTCCGGCTCGAGATTACAGTGATAGCAACCCGAACTGTATGACTGGTAACGAACAGAATGGGTGAATACTATCCCCGAACGAGAGGCATCTACGCTATTGCGTATCGCGATCTGCTTACCAGTTGCAGACAATAGTGCTACGGATAATGCTGAGCGCAGAAGCTCTACACGCCATGGGGCGGGCGCTCGCAACGTCGGTAATGATTTTGCCGTAAGATGCACCACTTCGTATAAAGCTGCAGGCCACAGGAATGTGTCAAAGCCGACGGATTGTGATTGCTTCAGTTTCGTTGACGTAGGCATCAAGCGTTCAGGCAATTCTGAGATTGCAGTCTCATGAGGTTGCCAAACGTGCCAATCGTTACAAGCACGATCTGATGTCGTGGTTTTTCAGAGTAGATCCGAGAAGCAAACGTTCAAGCGCTTGTCTTGCTCTTCGAGCGCAATGGGGCATCACCTCTTGCAACAATGCTAGCTTGAAAGAGAATAGAGGTGGTTAATCTTGCTGCTGCTAGAAGTGTCAGCAGTGTAGATAAACCAGTGAAGCTTTTGACCGGCATCGACGCCAACAAAAAGCTGTGAGTCTTTTCAATTGCACATCCAACACTCACAGAGCTCAACAGCCCTTCACCGAGGCAGTAACTTTTCTATCGCAGTGTTTTCCATAGTACCACAACGATTCTTAATCCACAGCTTGGTGTCGTTGTTTCGACGGACCTAACCTTGCTTAGCTGTACTTGCGACGAATGTCACGTTAGACTCAGGCTCGTCATTTTTGTGAAGTCACAGAACGAACAGCTGCGTGAGCTGAAGATGAAGTGGTGGCTTTCCTGTTGACCTCGAAGTTGCGTAAATTATGACTACAGCAGCTCTGATCAAATCCGGTCTTTTCACACGACTATCGTGTCTGGTCTTTGCGACTGGTGATTCTTTGTACCAGTGCTTCTGATAACTTCCATGGAGCGAAAAGGTTAAAGTAACATCGCTATACACACATCAAGGTCGGAAGTTCGGTCAATGAAGGCTTTTCACCGCATGTGTCGCGACCACAACTTACGCTAATCTTTTTGTCCTTACGCACGACTTACCGTGGCGTCGATCTTGTTCTTCGTCTTCATTTTATCTTAGCGCGACATGAACCCAAATTCTTAACAGCTCGAAAGGCATTTCACGACGCACTGCGATTAGTTCAGGTCCATTTCGACGGTCTTTCGGAGATCAGCAATTTTTAATCCAGCTTTCGTGCCACCAGCAACCCAACTAGGTCTGTAGTCACGCCATGCAGCAAGAAACACGAAAGGTCGTTAATCGCCATCTTTGACTAGTCAGTGAAGCTTTGTCTGAGTTTGTGGGCTTTCTCGACGGACACAGCAAAGGATGCGATGTACGTAGCATAAAGTGAGTAGTCTTCTTCGTTTCACCTTAGCTGGAAGTCACAGGCGACGGAATCACTAAAGATCGATAAACGACCGACAAACGGATGTGGCAGAAAACCCATGCATCATTCGTGTCAGTGGCAGCAACTTATCCTGCAAACTCTTGCTGCTCACGATGAATTCGTCACGCATCCAAGCATCATTACTTGTTGCCAGGCGACTTGGAGCGTTTGTTTTTCTTCTTCTTGTGGCAATTAGAAGAGCCACCAGCGAAGCCTTTGGGGTCGCACTCGGGACATAACCATGTGTCCGGATGGCGACCGTCAGCAAGACCGACACACTCGAGATGGTACCACTGCGACGGATTCGGACACGTCTTGCCGTCACAAGCAATCATGTTGCCATAGCTCGGGAGGTTGCAGATACAGTAAAGTTCGTTGTCTTCACCTGCGTCTGCGTCCTTCTTCGTCTTCTTTGTCTTGCCGCCTGACGCAGTCGAAAGTTTCGAGCTGTTCGGAGGCGCTTTGCGTCCTTCGCTCCCTTGACCCCGACTACTGTGGCTACTGCTCGCTGTTCCACTTGAATGGCTACTGCCGTGTCCGTGATTGGACGAATTGCCAGCAGTAGTCGTGCTCGTCGCGTGGCTCGACCTGTTGCTAGCACTGCGTCCCGATGGCATCGACACAGAATGATCGCGCTGGCGCTTGCGACTCGTCGACTTGTGCTTGGCTTTTTCCGCCGCAATCAGCGCCTTCCGCTCCTTGTCACGCACTGACGAGCGCTTCACTGCCGTCCGTTCGCCATTGCGAAGCCGCTGCATGAACGCGACGATCGAGTCGTCTTCCTCCACCTCCAGCGACAGATCGAAGTGCCGTGCCACTTGAGCCGCCAGCTCTTCTTTCGTCCAGTCTTCATTCAGCTTGAGGTGGTAAAACTTGCCATAGCGCTTCAGAGCTTCCACCTGTCATGAATCATACAATACCGAGCCAGGCCGTCAGCATTGCAGCTACATACATAGAAACACAGGCATAAAAGCTACAAGACGTACGCCCAAGCTCTTAAAGTCCACCATAAGCCGGGGTGGGTACAGAACGCGCTTGGCTCGCTGCTGCTGGAGGTTCATCTCGTCCACCATCACGTCGTCCTCAAAGTCTGTCTCGTGTCATGATACCCAGCAACCAGCAACCACATAAAGGTGAGTGCAACAGCTGCTAGTATCAACCACAATGTGCCACCACAACACTCTCAGTCTCAAATAGTCGCCCAGTGTACCTCCTTCCGTCAGGTACATCTCGTCACGGTCGTTCTACAGGTAAAAGTGGACGGATCGATAGTTTAGTGGATGGAGCAAATCGATTGATTGATGGACATTGCACGATGCGTGGAATCGAAAAAGGTGGAGGCTCTTACCATTGGAAGAGGGGAGTGGGGAGGGCGTGGAGCTGGGACGAACGGAGGCTCGAGGGAACGAATGAAGGACTGACGACGGAGGCCTGGTCCTCTCCGCTTGGATAGAAAGGGAGGTCCGCTCGTGGTCCGCTGTCGTACACTCCTGAGTGTACGAAGTGGACGCACCCGCGATGGACGGATATAAAAAGAGCGCGTCCGAAGCCAGCGTTATCTGGTTGGTTTACCCGATGTTGAGTGTCCGTACGTAATTGCACGGTACGCGAAGATCATAATTAAGTATCCGAGATTTGCAATGACTGTGCATAACAGCAGTCGTCAAAATTGTCTACATCACTTAAAATTGCGATGAAATCGACCTTTATTACATACGAGGTAGAGTGCAAAATTGGTCCAGATTATCGATTTCTTCAAATTTGGTATTACGACTAGCCTGTTCTCAACTATAATCATCAGTTTCGACCCCCCGTCAAACTTGATTAGAAACGCCTGCTCAGGCAGTTACGGGCAAGATCTACCCTTGCAACATGACCAGCAACAAAACGTCTGCCTCTCCTGCCTTCCAGGCCTTTGTCGATGCCTCAGTACGTGCTTGTAGAGATGCTTGACCATCTCTTAGGCTGTTGTTCGGCCAACGGCGAGCTCAAACCACTTTTGTATCTACAATACTGATAACTCAATTCTGGAAACTAAGCGTTTCTAATTCATGTGTTTGTTCTATTTCTATCGATCCAGGCCGGTGCAATGGGTGCACTTTTTGCTGCTGTGCTGTTGTATCCACTGGATGTGGTAAAAACGCGTCGCCAAGTCGATTTTAGCGACGACAAAGAGGCAAATGCAAGTCTGGATGCAAAAGTCCAAGTCAAAGCTCTGGCTTCGCGCAAGAAGAAGGCGCACAATTCGATGGTAGCTGTGTGGCTCATTTACCGCCATGAAGGCGTCGAAGGACTTTTTACTGGCCTCAGCTCCAAGATTGTGCATACTCTGTTGTCCAATTTTGCCTATTTCTATTGGTACTCGGTCCTAAAGACTGCAGTAGAAAAGCACTTGAAAAAGCCTCTGACAACAGGGATGAGCCTGCTCATAGCTTCGACCGCTGGAGCATTTAACATGATCATGACACTACCGTTAGAGATGATAAACACGCGAGCACAGATTCGGCCTACTGACACGGACAAGCGTCATGCTGTAGATGACAAGACGATGAAGAAATACAATATGTGGGGTATCGCCAGGGACATTTACGCTGAGAACGGGTTGACGTCATTTTGGAAGGGGTTTGTCCCTTCGTTAGTGCTGGTCAGCAACCCATCAATCAACTACACCATTTTCGACAGGCTCAAGTCCCAACTGCAGCTATCCAAGATGGCAGTAAGCAAGTCAAAGCGTGCCAGCTCTTTGACAGCACTCGAGGCTTTTGTTCTTGCTGCAATTGCCAAGGCTGTGGCTACGATCCTTACGTATCCAGTCATTCGCGCCAAGGTTCTAATGCAAGCGCAGAAAGAACCGATTGCTGAACGACAGAAGGATCCAAGCAGCCATCATCATGGTTCAGTGGGCAGCTCCATGATTCAGGTGCTCAAGCGCATTGGCGAGTTGGAAGGATTCAGTGGTTACTACAAGGGCTGTCCCGCGCAACTTGTGAACACAGTTCTCAAGAGTGCTCTCTTGGTTATGACGAAGGAAGAGATCACGAAGCATACCATGCGCGTGCTCTACCTACTGCACCGTCGTGCTGATCTTTGACTCATTGAAGCCATTGCAGCTCATGCTTAATTAATTACTGGTTCAGTTTTTGTTATGCACGTTGCAAATATAAAAGTTGTGGACTTGCCATCCGACGCATTGTGTTTTAATTGACAGCTGGTATGACTGGCAATGTGTTGACCACGTTTGGTGTTTTGTTGTAGCAAGTAAAGTTTATTTTTCGTACCTCAGCATACCGGATGCCAACCAACGCAGCAACACAAGCACTATTAAGATTCGGTAAGGATTTTTCACTTGACACACATTTTTACGACATTACAGCCTGTAGATCACAAGCTTCCCATGGGCTAGTCTAAGAACATCACATTATGACACGAACAAGCACTTCTTTTTATGCTATATGAGCTGATCAAATGTCCGCTTAAAAGACGAGGATCGTGGACACTAGTGGATTTATTTCATTCATGTATGCCGGTGCAATTAGTACAGGAGTTTTAAAAAGGTTAAAGCACATTCGGTGGCGGCTAGTCGGGTGAATTTACGAAGGATTTCACTGCTTTCTAACTTGTCACATGGTACGATATGCAACCTCATGATAAAATACTCCCGCACAGGCACGATATGCCACCTCATGATAAAATACTTCCGTGCATGTACGATACGATCTTCTCGAATAATGTAAATGTAGGTTTACGGACTATGTCATGCCGTTGCAGCACGTCGGCTACCAAACAATACATGCGGGTGGTAAATATTGTTGCGAACACGGAGAGATAAACTATTCGTAACTGTGTGCATACCGAACTTTCTCGAACCTACCTTTCGTCTGTTTGTCTGTCAAAAATGCCCGGTGTACCCCACACGGGGTCGTACTAAGTGGGGTGAAGCCTGCACCCTTTCATAGCTAGATGTGCATTTCATGTGTCACTTCTTGATTAGGTCACTAATTGCGACTGCGTAGAGAATGTAAGTCAGACACACACCAGTGCCCGCATATGATTGGCCTGAAAAGTGACCAAGGGATAGACTGAGGGTTCACAAGCAAATTCTCGACACACAGAGGCAGCAAGAGTCTCGCACTTATAGCAAAATGTAAATGTGAAGTGTTCCTATCCATAAAACTTGATGAATAGCAAGGCAAGAATGTATGGTCTTCGGTAGTAGAAAAGCTCCCTCAATTTTATATTTATATCATATTATTTAAGTTTATGTCGTCGGCTATAGCGGAGCCTCTTGGCGTTCCTTTACTGAGGAAGTCTTAGAGTCTAAGAGTCTCTTAGTTATAACAAACTAACAACGACGTAAAGTCGTTCGAGTGTACAAACTTAACAATCCCAATTCCAAGAGGATTGCGACTCACAGAATCACACTATGAGTAGTCACTACTGGCTAAACAAGAGCAAGCGTATTCACAAGGCTAACACTCCTACAACAAACTATGCCTTGACGAGGCACCAGCGTCCAACGATTCAAAAGGAAAACTGAACTTTATCTATTTTTACTACGGTGATAAACCATTAAGCCTTGTCGGACTGCCTTCTACATTACGATCTTATCAAAGAAGTCTGATTCCTTATAATTGCCCGATAAGGTGCGGTATTACCGTAAGTACGTGGTATCAAGACTGTACCACTCAGATCCACCGTTCTTTACTTAATGTGGAAACAAATCACAATCGGTACAACAGTCACCGTGTAACCTAATTACACCCTCCTCCACCTAACTGTCGATATTCTTGTGTCGACAATTCTTCGACTGCTCTTTGAGGTCTGTGAAAGCTCTGGTGGTTGACCATCGTGTTCACAACACATCTTAGAATGACTGAGTCAAAGCCTTCGTCCAACACCCTTGGGGAATTTCCTCAAAGAGGGTATGGTCGGCTATGAGAGTGATACCGCCGCATCGAGTATCTACGACCATCCTCAAGCTACGCCACCGGCGCGTGACACCGTGCGCACCGCGCCTAATCTATTCGTGGAACGCGAGGAGGTACCTTCACCCCTTGCACAGCGTTCAGCCATCGACCCTGCGTTGGGTTTGTTGCACAACAAACTTGATGAAGATCAAGCTCAATATCTGCAGTCGGTCGATGGCCGTAAGCGTCAAGCACAATGTGTAGCCACAACGCGTGCTCACAGTGGTTACCACTTCACACAACCGAGTGTGGATGAACGCATTACCCAGGCTTCCGGGCAGTCACTCCCAACTTGGGTTACGGGACTCAAGGCTGTCACAGCGCCGCACTAGCGGAAAGGGAGGCTCTCAGAGCGAGATACTTAGTGGTTAAGGGTATGACCTCTCAAGAGTACGTTTACAGTCTGAATATGCAAGCACGAGGTGCGTCCATGCCCGACATGTGGACGGCACTTGCCGTCCTCTTGCCTGTTGAGACGGAGGCGATAAACGATGTCGTCTTTACGCGCTGAGATCACCGAGCTTGTAATCTATCAAGCCTGTGGAATCTACAAAAGCTACAAAAAGCTGATTGATGCTGAATTTTTACCAACTTTAAGAGACAAAATGCTTCTTCTGCAACCTTCGGCTACAACAAAAGCTGTTTTTTTTTTCGCAAAACAAAAGGCCAAAGTCCAAATGCGATCGTTCTATCGCACACTCTATACTGCGGCAGCTACGGACCCGCGCATCAACACACCGGCTGCAGATGCAACTCTCTCCACTGCCACACCGACTGGTGAAAAGCATTATGGGTCGAATGACCCTGAATGCGACGTTCAAAAACGTCAATGGCACACGGACAATCCTGCCGCAGTGGCACTTCGCACCCCCATGAGTTCACCGGCTCCAGGCACCTTCGCCTCTGTACCAAGTACTTCTACTAGCCTTCGCGAAGACATTGCTGCAGGATTCTTTCAACATGGTACCGTTGATCCTCTTGCTCGTCAACAAGAGCAGGCGGTGGTTGGTAAATCTTGGCGCGTCGTTATCGAGTTAGTGCACGAGGTGCACGGTCCGCGTGACCGGGTGGCGCGTCTTGAAGTACAGCTAGATCTTCTCTTGAGGGTTCCTCGACTTGTGGCATCGTTAACTCTTTCGGTGCAAGCGCCTCGTGATCCACCAGCGACGGATCAAGATACAGCTGAAGCAAGCCGACGTAAAATAATGGATGTGTTCGCGTCTTGCTTGGAAGTTGGGCGTATAATCTAGGCCTTTCTTATCCACAACAGTAAACGGCTCAATGAAGCGAGGACGCAAGTTGGTTCTATAGACCGCTGATACCACCTCGGTAGGTAGATGCTTAGCGTTAAGTGAGACTAAGTCTTCAACCTCATGACTCTCAATACAATTTTTGCCTTTGGTATCCCCTTTTACCTTTTGTTCTTCCTGACTAGCAGCCATTGCGTCATGTACATGTCTTACGACATTCAATCGCGTAGCGAGAGAATCGCTCACCAGTTTCTGAACAGTAGTCGGGCCGACATCAGCAAGCCGATCGGCTATTCCTTCCTTACCAAGCCCAGGACCACGTTGTCGTAGCGTTGACGAAACTTGTGGGTGAGTGAGACCATTCACGTAGAATGGAGTAAAGCCAGAAGATGCAAGAATAGCGTTAATTAACGCAAACTCGACCACAGAGAGCATAGATCCCTAATGCCTAGGCGTAGCAGCACAAACACTGCGTTAAATGTCACCAATGACACGGTTGAAACGTTCAGTGTGACCATCGGTCTGCGGATGATCCTCTTTGGGCATGTTTAACTTGGTGCCCAGCACCTTGAAGATGGAAGTCCAAAAGTTGCCAAAGAAACGTGGATCACGATACGAGACAATTGCCGCAGGAAAACCGTGTTAACGAAACACACGGTCGATAAACAGCTTTGCAGTGCCTCCACCATCTATGGAATCATACACAGCCGCTACTGATCCATCTTGCTCGAGCGGTCAACAAAGACCACAATACCAGTGTTTCCGTCCGAACCCTTCAGTAGGCCGAGCACAAAGTACATACTGATGGACTCCCAACACCCATTGGGTACAGACAAGCTAGCAAGTGGGGAAACCGCATGTGCTAAGGGTTTGACCCGTTGACACATTTTACATGTATGCACATATGTACTCACCCATTTGTACAACTTGGGACACCAATACGTCTGACTAAATGACATGTAGGTCTTCTCACCACCGAGTTGACCACTCAAAGCAGTGCCATGCGCCTCAAAGAGGATACAATACTTCAAGTCCTCATCATGAGGAACGACGATGCGAGGTCCATCATCAACACTCGTACAATAGCACAATCCAACATCGATGACATATCGATGTAAGCTCGCACGTAAACGTGCCGAAAATTTGATGTCCGAGTCTTGAAACTCCTCGCTTCCAAGAGCATGTAGCAATGCTACACATTGCTCATCACGTGCATACACCGCACGAATTCGATCCACAATTGATGAAGACAGAGTGGTAACCTTAGCAAGCTCATAATAAGGTTTGCGTGACAACGCATCAGCCAAAGCGTTTTTCTTGCCCGGCTTATACTTCACCTCGAAGTTGTATCCAGCAAAAAATGAAAGCTAAAGGGCCACACTCTGTGAGAGGTGAGGCGACTGTGTCGCAGTGCGTAATGAAGCATGATCTGTGAAGATCACAAAAGGTGTTGGTCTAAGGAGATGGTCTCTGAACTTAACACGAACCTATTTCATGGTAAGTAACTTCTTATCGTAAACTGGAAAGTTCTTCTCTGCAGCCCCTAGATGAAGAGGTTCATACGCAATAACAGCTCATGTCCATTGACATCTGCCTGTAACAATGCACAACCAATTGAAAACTCAGACGCGTCACAGACGACAGTGAAAGGCCACTCAGGGTCAGGTAAAGCCAAAAATGGAGCTAAAATGTCCTTGATGTCTTCAAAATCTTCAGCCTGGACTGCGCCCCAACACCAAACTGCATCCTTCTTGAGGAGGTTGGTTAATGGCCTTGCCATGTCAGAGTATTTTGCACTGTAATTGTGCAAGTAATTAGTAAGGCCGAGCCATTTACGCAAGTCCTTTTAATTCGACGGAACCGGCCAGTCAACAACTGACTTTACCTTAGAGGGATCCGCTCGAAGGCCACGCTTTCCAGTGAAGCACCCGAGAAAGAGAACTTCTTCAGCACCAAGAATGTACTTTGATGCATTTGCATGCAGTTTTTTCATGCGCATGCACTCGAGCACTGCTCGTTGATGGTCAATGTGATTATCCAAATCTGATCTGCCATGTTCTGCACGGCTAAAGACAAAGATGTCATCGAAATGGCTCTGTGCATACCCTCGGTGAGGTCGGTACAATTGCGTCACAAGACGATTGAATGTAGCCAGGGCATTAGACAGTCCTTGAGGCATGACAATCCCCTCCCGAAGCATACCGCTTGGAGTACTAACCGTTGTCAGCGGTACATCACTCGCTCGCATGAGAAATCGATAATACCCATCGACCAAATCGAGTGCACAAAACATGGTACAACCTACCATAGCTTTTTGAAGAACCCTCTTTCTTAGGAATAGACGTCTGTGCAGGTACAGTGGTTGTGTGAAGCTTATTGTAAGCATGCGCAATACGCCACTTACCATTAGCTTTCTGACACAACATTTATGTGCTGAGTGCGGAGACTTGCTCTCACACACCACGCCAGGCGCGTGCTTTGCAAGAAAGAACTCGTCAATGATGTCACACTGCATCTTTAGTACGGGACATCGCCGCGTCACACAATATTTGTTCCCGGACACAGATCAATTTCGTGACGCACGCCTCAATCTGGATGCAGAGTGGAAGGTGGATCGTGACACACCACATCCTGAAACTCCTTAACCAAAGGATAAAACAGGTCTCTAGGATCTTTTATAGTCGATGACCCACTTCGAGCACTCAATGCTACCTTTGTGTCTTCCAAGACAGCTTCATCGAGAAGTGACGTCGAGTTCAACTCACTAACGGATCTAATGACCACAACTACAGATAAGTCACCCGGCTTCAAGGTAAGGCCAAACTCACCGACAGACATTTCGTCTAGCTCTAACAGATTATTCAGTGAGGGTAGAGTCTAAAGACCCATTGGCCCATCTACGTCACTGGCCACTCCATTAACGAGTGTATATAGCTACTCGCTAGTATCACTCAGTGACGTGACAGACGCCTTGCGTTGCATAACAGCAATTTGAAGTCGCTGTCGCCTCTGTGACGAGACTGAATGTCTCAAAGAGCCTGGAACTTTCCTGTCGCCAAGGTTGATTGTATCATCATCCTTCACTTGCTCTGTAAAATAGCCAGTGTCATTACCCCGACACCCGGGACTATACCGCCCCAAGGTAGCGGAGTGCGTAAAACTTAATTTGCCCAATATCAGGGACGATTATATCAACGACATCTGGGACGAAACTGTCCTAAAGGTGTCAAACGGCGTGAACCGTAATTTGTTCAATAGCAGGACCTATGTCATTTCCGACATATGGGACTACACTGTCCCCAAGGTGACGAACTTTGTAAGCATTAATTTGTCCGATATCAGATCCAATGTCATTAAAGGCATCTGGTGATGAGTCAATTCCAGTGATATCACCACCCAGTGGGTACTTACGTGCCACCCCACGCTCATCAAATGGGCGTTGCCCTTTATTGAGCTTGGATCGTAACTAATGGTTCTGACATCCTTCAAATCAATGAGTTGAGCCATACCGATGTCCAGCACACTGACTGTCTCGGTCCGTGGCTCGCGCCAATAGCATTTTTGTTTCCTAGCAGAGATAGTCTTATGACTCTCCGATGCTCCACTACGAACAGTACGTGTTGCGCCGAAGGTCTTTGACCTCCAATCAATCCATGGCTCATGGCGTTCTAGACATGACATGCCAAGGATGAGATCATGCCTCTCATCCCAGTCAAGGACTAGCCAGCATTGGTCTTCAAAACTGTCAAAGTCCAAAAACTTCACGCCTAAGCTTACAGGAACTTTAGGCAAGGTGACTAATGCAACTTTCGCTAAGCAAACATTGATAGTCTCATTCTTTTGCGCTTTTGTCGCCTCAGCATATTGCTCACTACCTTCCATGGAACAACGTCGGACGTAATCCTCGACGCTTCCGAGTCGATCAATGTCGACCATGGCTCATGAAGGCCCTTCATCGTTGCTTCTGCAACTAACAAGCCTGGTTTTACTCATGCTTCGTGACATTGCTCAAGAAGCCACTTAGGGATAGGCACTGTTCTCCATCACCTCCCAGAGGTACAACAGAGCCTAAATCCTCCCTAGCAGGACGCCCCGCACCTGCTGGGACTCGAAGTTTTCCCGCGCCTTACCTACTTGTTAGTTAGCAACGGGATGTCGGCTCATATGATCCTGTCTGGTCCTTCTCATAGGACAATTGGGGCGAAGGTGTTTGATGCTTCCGCACGTAAAACATATACGGATGATAGAACGCTGTTCGACAGTGTAAAGCTCAGCTTCTTCGTCTCTCACAGCGAGACTAAGTTCCAAGGGTTTCTGCCATATTCATGAGATGAACATTTCTCGACGAGTTCAATTGGAACCCTTGAGTCCCATATCGGGCATATTTAAAGTTGAATTCTACGTCCGACGCTATATCCACTACACCCTCAAATTTCAAGGGTTGTGCACGAAACACTTCTGTTCTGGCAACGCCATTGCAAAGACCCTCCGTAAAAAGGTTGCCGAAACCGTCTCAGGTGAAGGTTCAAGTTGCATAGCAGCAATTAGAGTTTGAAACTCTTGGACATAGTCAACTAATTCCTTTAAACCCTGGCGGGTTGACAGGAATAGTGATCGCACGTGATATATACCTGATTAGGCGGAGCAAACACCCGAGATAGTTGCTGTTTTAGCATATCCTGATGGGAAAAGCCTCGTCTATCGAGGTTCCAGAAGTGAACGCTGACTCCCTTGCTCGCCCACCTAACTTCGATAGGGCCAGGCCCACCATTTCTTTCTCTGACCGCAGCAGGGCCGAGATGATGGCAACCTCCATCCCTAGAACCGACCAAGGCTATCTTCTCCCTCTTTCCCTTCAAAAGTCTTGACACTTAAGACCAGAGGGCGAGTCCTGGACTCAGTGTCTGGTATTAAAACGTACCGAGTGGGCATGGCCGATGTTAAAATGGTAATGGACCTGTCCGATCAACGTGGAATCAAAGTTCGAGAAGGCCTCGAGA